AAGCAACCTAAGTGTCTTGTAACAGATGAATGGATAAAGAAGGTGTACACACACACACACACACACACAGGAATATTATTCAGCAGTGAGAAAGAAGGGAATCCTGCCATTTGCACCAACATGGGTGAACCTGGAGGACGTTATAGTAAGTGAAATAAGCCAGACAGAAAGACAGATACTGTGTGATCTCACTTATATGTGGAATCTGTTTAAAAAAAAAGTGAATTCCTAGAAACAGAGAGTAGACTGATGATTATCAGGAACTAGGGGATGGGGGCATGGGGGGATGCTAGTCAAAGAGTGGAAGCCTTCAGTTACGATGGGGAAACTCTAGGGATATAGTGAGCAATATGGTGACTACGGTTACCAACTGTGCTACATAGTTGAAACTCACTAGGAGGAGTTACTGTGATCTTAAGCATTCACACAACAACTATAACAAAAAAAGGTAACTGTACGAGGTGGTGGACGTGTTCATTAACCTGACTATGGTAATAATTTCACAATGTATATGTAAATCAAGTCATCACATTGTATAATTTCAATATATAGCATTTTATTTGTCAATTATACCTCAGTAAAGCTGGGGGGAAAGTAATCTCTCCTGATTTTAGGTAATTTTTAATAATTTCAGTGAACCCTAAAATATGGTTAAGAAAATGCATTGGATATCTTTCTCAAATGAAATTTATCAGCATAATATACAGAGTGTCCACAAAGGCAGGAAGCGTGGGGTAAACTTATTTTAAACTGTCTGTTAACATCTTCATATAATATGTTCTGTGTGTTTTTCAGCCTACAGATACCTTTTTAGGTAAAGTGTCTCTAAATTTAAAGCAAAGGGTCCAGTTGTTCATTTGAAAAGAGGACAATAAATGTACTGATTTGCCTTCTGTTTTGGTTGCTCTGTGTATTCTGGGTACTTTTGTCCAGACTGACAGTTGGGCCCATTGCCTTAGAGTTATGTATCACTCGAAACCATCTCAAGTATGTTACTTAAAAATGTAACCAACATACTATTTTTTAAAATGTACAACTGTGAATACATGTAGATCCAGAAGTCAAATAATAGTAAAAGGCTTAACAGGAGGTACAGTGGGTTCTTTGTCTACTCACCCCACCTTCCCAGGTGAGATTTCCCAACTGAAGAGGCAACCACTTTCACATTTTAGCTGTTTATTTTGGCAGTTACTCATATCCAGATTTATAAATAACGTGTGTAAACTGCTATCCTTCAGGTGATCAAGTGTAGGTGGTATTTATTGATTTCCTCTTACGATCATTGTGGGTTTAGGGCTCTTGTGTGACCTTCCTCTCTGGTTCTGCGCCCTCATCCTTTTAACACAGTTATATTACAGGTTTTGGCTATATTGCTTTTGATATTTATATTATTATATCCAATCAGTTATTTGCAGCTGAACAGGGGAGTGCACTATGACTGTCCTTCCAATGGACTTTTTGTTTTTTCTCTAGTTAATTCTTGCTTTTTAAAAAAAAATTTAGATTTGCTTTATTTTCTTTGTGGCTGTGGCAGTGCTGTGCTCATATAACTGACTCTCTGAAAAACAAAAAAAAAAAAGAAGGAAAAGAATAAGCCCTGATTTGTATTGTTTGCAATTGTTTGTATTGTATTTGATTTCTCATTTCAAGTTACCAGTGTGAGGTTGCTGAACAAGATGCTGAGAAAAGATGCACATAGTTTGTTCCCCTGTGCCACTGAGCTGTGACTAACTCTTTCACACCTGCTATTAGCCCACATTGGGATTTTAAACTAAATTTTCTTTTTCTTCTATTTTAAAATAATTTTGTTTCATTAGAGGACGTATTTGCTCTGAATCTTTTTTTTTTTTTTTGAACTTGTGAATATTTTAAGGCCTTGGGACTTTCCTCTGTGTATACTTACAAGTACAGAGGGAGATTCTGGAGATCTCTCAGAGGTGTTCAGGGTCCTGTCCAGATCTTTAGGTCCTGGCCAGAGAAGACGAGGTGAAAACTACACAACCCAGTGTGTTATCTCGCTGGAGGAGGGGTGAGGCTATTGGTGAGAGGGAGCAATGGTGAAGCTATGGCAGTCTCATGCCGTGTATGTCCCTGCTAGGCCAACTGTCAGGGCTCTTTTTGAGGCAGTTGCTTGAGCTCATGATGAGCTGGGGCCCTGCTCCACTTCCCTAACTGGAATGACTACCTGTGTTTGGCACTTCAGCAATGCCTGGCACCATGCATGCCAGTCAGGGCTGGGATGGCATATTTCGGCCTGCTGCTTACAGAACTTGTTCATACAGTTGAGAGTGGGCCTCTTCTGGAAGCTTGGACCTTGACTTCATCTTTAGGCTCTGCTCTTGTGGACCTGGGAGGTACTTGAGTCAGGTCAGAATTTCAGCTTCCTGCAGAAAACAATGAGTGAGCCACGACTATAGGCATCTCCAGGTTGACTGGGGCACTGCTGTGACAACTGGTACTGGAGTTCTGTGTGGTAATGCCTAGGTTTTCCTTGACATGCCAATGCCCAAGCACAGGCTGGAGGTGTGCACCATCATCCTTGTTGCAGCTACTGTTGCTCTGAGCTTTATCAGGGTTTTGAGGTCATTCTAGGGGTTCCCATCCACTTTCTTGCCAAACAGCTTTTCTTTCTTTTGCATTGGTTCATGGGCAAGATCATTCAACCTTCCATTCTGCAGTGTATCTAATGAAAAGGCTTCATAATATCTGGTTCATTGATGGCCTTCCCGCACCTCCTGCCCCCTGCAATGTTAAGAGCTGAAACAGACTTTCTTTTTCCTGTAAAAATGTCCTTGTTCATTTCCATGGGAATTTGGTAGGCCTGTTAAATGACTTGGCTTAAATCGCTATTTGAACCAGAAGTCCAAAATGGCACTTTGTAGCAATTCTGGGTGTGATGTATATCAATGATGCTGCCCTTTTGAACTGCAGAGAAAAGTCTTCTTAAAAAATTATTGTGATCTGGCAACTGAGACTCCAGCAGCTCTGAATGCTCCTCAGCTGATTGCTGGCCGCCATGTCGGTTTTCTGGAAAGGTCAGTGAAGTTAACAGCAGTTCTAAAGCATAGATAAGGGAAAGTTGTGAAAATACTTTGTTTCTTTATAAAGATGAGCTATCTGAAGAAGGGAATACTCAATTATTTTTATTGTGTGTGAATCATTGCATAGTATTTCTGGATTTCTGACAAACTTCTTTCAATAAGACTATGAAACTCAGAAATGATGATTTTAAGACCTGAAGTTTAATTTTCTCCAGAGCAGACTTTTCTCCAAGTGTGGTCTGTAGGCCTCTTGCTGTGGATTTCTGGGCTGGGAGGGGCTTGTTAAAAATGCAGGATCTTGTTGCTGACCTACCGAATTAGAAACTCTTGAGATGAGACCTGAAAAATGGCAGCTTAAATCAGTGAACCCGCTAACCCCTGTGGGGGATTGTGTGCATACCCAAGTTTGATCTAGACCATTTGTTCTGATGTTGGATTGCTATTCTCTGCAAACTTTTGTTTGTTTTTCTTTGGTTTTGCTTAAGTTGCCCTCTAATGTAAAAATTGGTACAATTTCTCCCCTTGTTATCATTCATTTCTGCCTGTTTTGTTTTAAAGATTTTATTTTTTCCTTTTTCTTCCCAAAGCCCCCCGGTACATAGTTGTATATTCTTCGTTGTGGGTCCTTCTAGTTGTGGCATGTGGGACACTGCCTCAGCGTGGCTTGATGAGCAGTGCCATGTCTGCGCCCAGGATTCGAACCAAGGAAACACTGGGCCGCCTTCAACGGAGTGCGTGAACTTAACCACTCGGCCACGGGGCCAGCCCCATTTCTGCCTGTTTTGTTTTAAACTCCAGGATAATAGTTATTAAATTTCATGAGTGGCTTTTCATTTCTGGATTTTTAACTCTGAATTTTTAATTTTTCCCACAGAGCTGAGAAAACAGAAGTGCTCAGTGAAGATCTGTTACAGGTAACAAAATAGAATCTTTTTGAAGTGCTCTGTTTAAAGGAAAAAAACCCAAAACCTGTAGATGAGAACTGAAGCTTATGTTTTTTTTACCTGAAAGAGAATAAAATTATTTAGCACGGTTTTGAGCAGAAGGAAAAGCAGTGGAGTTGCACCGTGATAGAAAGGGATCTGAAACTTTGGTGTCATATTGTGAAGCTCAAATGGGGTAGTCTTGTTTTCAAGGGCCAGGGGTGAGGGTGGGGATGGAGGCGGGGCTGGCGGTGTGGCCTGGTCATAGGTGCTGGGCAGGCTGGGGGACTCTAGTTCACCGTTCTGGCGGTGCCCTTGATGAGACAGGCCCTGCCAGCTGCAGCAGAGGACCCCGCTGGCTGGAACCTAGAGTTTTGACTTCTTGCTCCCTCTCTCACTGTTATTCCCCAACACTGGCCTGAGTTGGGTCCTGAGGGAATCAGAGTCTCAGAGACAATGGCCAGATCTCTCAGAACCACCCAGAGGCTTTAGGGTGGCCTCACATCATCAGGCTGACTTTCTTTCTTCTCTGTAGGGAGGGGCGTTTCCCACCAGAGACCTTACCCAGGGCCTCTCCACTCCATCTCTCAACAGATTTCCCTAACTTTGGGGCTGGGAGTTTCTTCCAGGAGGCAGTGGACCCTTTATACACATGACTTTCCCCAGCCCCACTCAATCCCCACCCGCACCAGAATACTTAGGGAAGGATGGAACCTCTTCTGCACAGAGGTTTCTTTTTCTTTTCTTTTTTTTTTTTTCCACAGAGGTTTCTATCAAGTCTCCTCGCCTGTCTTGCCTCTCATTTCCATAACCTACGGCAGGTCCACTCCATTGAGTTCCTGAGTTCCTGAAGACCAAAGAAAGATATGCTCCCAAGTGACTTTCTGTCTCTTCTCATGGAGAGAAGGCGTTGGCATAATTGAGAAAAACGCTGCCTCCACCACACCATGCCGAAACATCCTTCTCAATTATGACAGCCTTCTGTGGGTAGAATATTTTAAGAGCACTTTTTTCTTTTTTTTAGGACTAAAAGGTTTTATTAAGGAGTTGAAGTATTTTTAAAGATTTATTTAAGAATCACATTCTTAACAGTACTTCCTCGTTTTTTATCATATATTTCAAATTCATTTTCAGACTTTCAGAAATACTTTTTGGTCCAGTTAAGCTTTTACTAAACTAGGTTTTCATGTCATTACCTCCCTCCTACATCCCATATCAGTAATGGACATTATCTGATTTAATCCTTGATGCTCTAAGATAAGGCCAGGGGACCTTACAGGCCATTGGAGTGTGTCAACTCAACTGGCAACTGTCCGTTCTTCTCACTTTGCCCAAACATCCAGTGGGGCCTGAAGAGTTTGCCAGTTTCTAGGAACTCCTGTTTTCTAACACAGATACTTACCCCGTGTCTGCCGTCGCTGGGACTGCTGTTTTCCCTTCTGATTTTGTTGTTTGAACTATAAAGAAAGAGAGTCATGGTTAAAAGTGTGGAGTTGGGTGCCCAACTACATGGATTGGAATCCCAGGTCTGCCCCTGACTGGCTGTGTGGCCTCAGGAACTTACTCTTAACCTCCCTGTGCCTCAGTTTCCACTTCTCTAGAATGAAGGTAGTAGCAGTGTCCGCCCCCAGGGTTGTTGGGAGGGTTGAAGGAGTTCAACATGGAAAGCACTGGGAATGGATTACAAGACATGATTTTGTTTCTGGTATGTTCTGGTGTGAAACTTCCCTTAACTTGTGCTGTGTCCTCCCACCTCTTTTCTTAGATCTCTAAGAGAGCAGTTCAGGAGGGTGCCTGTTGATTTTGCTTGTATGCACTTTCTCCAGGAGGCTGTGAATCCCTGGAGGGGGGAACCACAATTTACTTACTGTTGTTTGTCTAATACGTGCACAGGGACTCATATATACTTGTCCTTTCAACAAATATTAAGTGAGCATCTTCCATTCAGCTGCCAGACAGCGTTCCAGGCACTTGGGATAAATCAGTGGACAGAACAGACCAAGGCACCTGTTCCTGCAACTTTACATTCTAGTGGAAATTGGAATCAGTATGAAATGGAGTTTTTTGGGGTTGTTCCCCCCTGCTTTTGTGGCAAAGGAAGAATGTATATCAGTTTTCTAGTGTTTCTTTTTCTTTTTTTTTTTTTAAAGATTTTTATTTATTTTTTATTTTTCCTTCTTCTCCCCAAAGACCCCCAGTACATAGTTGTACATTTTAGTTGTGGGTCCTTCTAGTTGTGGCATGTGGGAGGCCGCCTCAGCGTGGCCTGATGAATGGTGCTAGGTCCGCGCCCAGGATGCGAACCAGCGAAACCCTGGGCGGCTGAAGCAGAGCGTGCCAACTTAACCACTTGGCCACAGGGCTGCCCCTCCAGTGTTTTCAAATGTGGTCGTTACGCGATTTAGAGAAGGTGATGTGGCCTCTCCTCCTAAATATAAACTTGCCTGTCAGATCAGGGCCCTAGTGGCCGGGGCTTGGATATAAAGGAGAGCTGCTGGTGCACTGAGGGCCTTTGAGAAAGAGCCACACACCATTCTATTCCGTAAAATGTTTTGGGGTAAAAATGTATTCTGCCTTGAATTTGTTGATTTCCCTTTAAAATAGAAAGCTTCCTTAAGGCACTGCTCTCATTCTCAGTGAGTCATCAGGACACACATTTTTGGCATTCCTTACTGTAAAAAGCAGCTCTCTTTGCCATAAACAGCCATATCCCAGCAATAATATTTTGGGAAGCTAATCATGATGCATGGGTCCCCTAAGTCAGTGTTTCCTACTGCTGGCTGTCCATTCTGCTTTAAAGGTTTATTTAAAAAAAAAAGAAAAGAAAAAGGAAAAACAAAAACCACCCCAAGCCTAGTAAGGAATAATTTTAAAAGCAGTAGTGTTCCATGTAAGTTGTGGATCATTTACTCTGACTCTGTCTGATGTACTTTGCGGGGAAGGCTTCATGGCTATGTGCAGGAGAGAGCGTCTGAAAGCCCCTGTGGGTTTTCCCACTTGGCTGTGGGTGTGGGTCTGGGCTGAGGATGTTCATTTGCAGTTCTGCAGATTGGACGCAGGCCTTTGCTGGTGCTGGAGTGTGCAGCTCGACAGCCACCCCTCTTTCTGATAGCAAGTTTTAGTCGGAACTGTCCCCTCTCCCTGCACATACAGTCAGCCTTTAAGGGATCTAAAACCCTGGGTGTCAGGGAGGTCGGTGGTTTCCAACCAGGGACGCTTTTGGTCTCTGGGGGGATATCTGACAATATCAATTGATACTGGAGAATGTTTTTGATAGTCACAATGGAGGGAGTGGGGTGCTAATGGCTCCTAGCAGATAGAGGCCAAAGATGATGCTAAACATACCACAATGTGCAGGACAGCTCCCCACAACCCAGAATAATCTGGCTCAGAATGTCCATAGTAAGAAACCTGGTGTAGGTGAATGGGGGCCATTTCCATTTACACCCAAGCGGTAAGAAATTAAACTATAGGATGCTTTTCCTGCCTACAAGCAAACACTACATCAGAAAGATGCTGAGTTTGTTCTTAAGCCCTGCAAATGGCTCATTTGTCTCTGTTTTGTCAGATCGAGCGGCGCCTGGACACGGTGCGGTCAGTGTGCCACCATTCCCACAAGCGCCTGATGGCATGCTTCCAGGGCCAGCATGGCACTGATGCCGAGAGGAGACACGTGAGTATCCAATGCGACTCAGAACCATAGTTCATGTGTCTCTGGGAGGCTCTTCGCCCTTTGATCAATTGGCTTCTCCCAAGCAGCATCAGCAGATTTGCCTTCAGATTTGTACCTTATGTCACCCTTCATGCTCATGACACCTGCCTGACCAGAACATTCTTTTGTGCTTAAGACATTGCTGAGCTGAAGGCTCACACTGCTTTTAAAGACTCACTGAGCCATTTGTCCTTGATAAGAGAATGGACGTGTCGATTATGAATGCTTTGATGGTGAAAAACTGATAATCTTTTTTTTTTTTTTGAGGAAGATTAGCTCTGAGCTAACATCTGCCACCAGTCCTCCTCTTTTTGTTGAGGAAGACTGGCCCTGAACTAACATCTGTGCGCATCTTCCTCTATTTTACATGTGGGACGCCTGCCACAGCATAGCTTGATAAGTGGTGCGTAGGTCCATGCCCGAGATCTGAACCGGTGAACCCTGGGCCACCAAAACGGAGTGTGCAAACTTAACCCCTATGCCGCAGGGCCTGCCCCCCTGAAAACCCTTTCTTAAATTGACTTAGAAAGTAGAATTTATTGGCTTACTAACTGAAAAATCCAGAAGTTGAGATGGACTTGAGGTATGGATTCATCTAGCATTTCAATGATATAACCAAAAATCTAGTTTCTTTCCTTCTTTCCCTTCTGCCTTCTTCATTATCTGCTTTATCCCTAAATGGCTACCTCTCATGGTTGTAAGTTGGCTACCAGCACCTTCCATGGGCTGCTTCCTTGTGCATGTCCAGCAGGAGTACAGAGCATGTCTTCCCACAGTTTTCTTTCTTTCTTTTTTTGTTGAAGTGTAGTTGACATACCCTATTGCATTAATTTCAGGTGTACAGCATATTGATTCGACATTTATATACATTACAAAGCAATCATCCTGATAAGACTAGTTTCCATCTGTCATCACATAAAGTTATTACAATATTGTTGACTATTCCCTACATTGTACTATACATTATATCCCCATGATTTATTTATTTTGAGATTGGAAGTTTGTACCTCTTAATCCTTTTTACCTATTTTGCCGATCCCCCTGACTCCCTTCCCTCTGGCCACCACCAATTTGTTCTTTGTATCTATGATTCTGTTTTGTTTTGTTTGTTCATTTGTTTTGTTATTTTTGAGTCTACATATAAGTGAAATTATACGGTATTCTTCTTTCTCTGTCTAGCTTATTTCAATTAGCATAATACCCTCTAGATCCATCCATGTTGTTGCAAATGCAGGATTTTATTCTTTTTTATGGCTAATATTCCATTTTACATATCTATCACATCTTTATCTGTTCATCTACTGAAGAACACTTAGTTTGCTTCCATATCTTGGCTGTTGTAAATAACACTGCAGTGAACACATGGGTGCCTATATCTTTTTATATTAGTGTTTTCGTTTTCTTCAGATAAATACCCAGAAGCGGTATTGTGGATTATATGGTAGTTCTATTTTTAATTTTTTGAGGAACCTCCATACTGTTTTCCATAGTGATTGCACCAATTTACATTGCCACCAACAGTACACAAGGGTTCCCTTTTCTCCACATCCTCGCCAACACTTACTTGTTGTCTCTTTATAGTAGTTATTCTGACAGGTGTGAGGTGATATCTCATTGTGGTTTTGGTTTGCATTTCCCTGAAGATTAGTGATGTTGAGTACCTTTTCTTGTATCTGTTCGCCATCTGTGTGGCTTTTTTGAAAAAATGTCTGTTGAGGTCCTCAGCCAATGTTTTAATCAGATTGTTTGTCTTTTTTGATATTGAGTTGTGTGAGTTCTTTATATATTTTGGATATTAACCCCCTTATCAGATATATCATTTGCAAATATATTCTTCCATTCCATAGGCCACCTTTTTGTTTTCTTGATGGTTTCCTTTGCTGTGCCAAAGCTGTTAGTTTGATGAATTCTTATTTGTTTATTTTGCATTTGTTGCCCTTGCCTGAGGAGACATAGCCAAAAAAATATTGCTAAGACTGTTGTCAAAGAGTTTACTCCCTTTGTTTTCTTCTAGGATTTTTATGGTTTCAGGTCTTACATTTAAGTCTTTAATCCATTTTGAGTTTATTTTTGTATATAGTATAAGAAAATGGACCAATTTCATTCTTTTGCATGTATCTGTCTAGTTTTCCCAACACCATTTATTGAAGGGACTGTCTTTTCCCCACTGTATATTCTTGCCCCCTTTGTCATATATTAATTGACCAGCTAGGCATGAGGTAATTTCTGGGCTCTCTTATCTCTGTCCCATTGATGTATGTGTCTGTTTTTGTGTCAGTACCATACAGTTTTGATTACTATGGTTTTGTAGTATAGTTTGAAACCAGGAAGCGTGATAGCTCCAGCTTTGTTCTTCTTTCTCAAGATTGCTTTGGCTATTCAATGTCTCTTGTGTTTCATGTGAAGTTTAGGTTTATTTGTTCTGGTTCTGTGAAGAATGCCACTGGTATTTTCATAGGAACTGCATTGAATCTGTAGATTACTTTGGGTAGTATGGACATTTTAACAGTATTAATTCTTCCAGTTTATGAGCACGGTATATCTCTCCACTTATTTCTGTCATCTTCAGTTTCTTTCATCAATGTCTTATAGTTTTCAGTGTATCGGTCTTTCACTTCCTTGGTTAAATTTAACTTGGTTAAATGTATTGGTTTGGGGCCGGCCCCGTGGCTGAATGGTTAAGTTCAAGTGCTCTGCTGCGGCGGCCCAGGGTGTCACCGGTTTGGATACTGAGCGCGGACATGGCACTGCTTGTCAGGTCACATTGAGGCAGCGTCCCACATTGCCACAACTAGAAGGACCTGCAACTAAGATATACAACTATGTACTGGTGGGATTCGGGGAGGTAAAGCAGAAATAAAAACCCCAAATTTATTGGTTAACTTGGTTAAATTTATTCCTAGGTATTTTATTTTTTTGATACAAGTATAAATTGGATTTGCCCTAAGCTAACATCTGCTGCCAATCTTCCTCTTTCCGTATGCGAGCCAGCACCACAGCATGGCCACTGACAGATGAGTGGCGTAGGTCCGCACCTGGGAACCAAACCTGGGCTGCCACAGTGGAGTGTGCCAAACTTAACCTCTAGGCCACTGAGGCTGGCCCTAAATTAGATTATTTTCTTAATTTCTCTTTCTCTTAGTTCTTTGTTAGTGTATAGAAACACAGCTGATTTCTATGTATATTTATTTTGCATCCTGCAACTTTACTGAATTCATTTATTAGTTGCAATAGTGTTTTGGTGGCATCTTTAGGGTTTTCTATGTACAATATTACATTATCTGCAAATAGTGACTATTTTATTATTTCCTTTCCAGTTTGGATGCCTTTATTTCTTTTTCTTGTCTGATTGCTGTAGCTAGGACTTCCAACCCTATGTTGAATAAGAGTGATGGGAATGGGTATTCTTGTGTTGTTCCTGATCTTAGAGGAAAAGCTTTTAACTTTTCACCATTAGGTATGATGTTAACTATGGGTTTTTCATATATGGCCTTTATTATGTTGAAGTATTTTCCCTCTATACCCATTTTGTTGAGGATTTTTATCATAAATGGATGTTGAATTTTGTCAAATGCTTTTTCTACATCTATTGAGATGATCATATGACTTTTACCTTTTGTTTTGTTCATGTGATGCATCATGTTGACTGGTTTGTGGATACTGAACCACCCTTACATCCCTGAAATTAATCCTAGTTTATCATGACATATGATCCTTTTGATATGCTGTTGAATTTGTTTTGCTAATATTTTGTAGAGGATTTTTGCATATAAGTTCAGCAGGGATATTGACCTATAATTTTCTTTTCTTGTCATGTCTTTATCTGGTTGGGGTATCAGGGTAATGCTGGCCTTGTCGAATGAGTTTGGGAGCAATCCTTCTTCAGTTTTTTGGTATAGTAAGAGAGGGATAGGTCTTAATTCTTCTTTAAATGTTTGGTAGAATTCACCTGTGAAGCTTTCTGGTCCTGGACTTGTGTTTGTTGGGAGTTTTTTGATTACTGATTCAATTTTATGATTAGTAATCGGTCTGTTCAGATTTTGTATTTCTTCCTGATTCTAGTCTTAGAAAATTATTTGTTTCTAGGAATTTATCCATTTTTTCCTTGGTTGTCCAATTTGTCGGTGTAATTATTTGTCATTATCTCTTATGATCCTTTTTGTTTCTGTGGTGTCTATTATAACTTCTCTTTCATTTCTGATTTCATTTATTTGAGCCCTCTCTCTTTTTTTCTTGAAAAGTCTAGCTAATGGTTTATCAATTTTGTTTATCTTTTCAAAGAATCAGCTCTCAGTTTCATTGATCTTTCTGTTATTTTTTTAATCTCTATTTCATTTATTTCTGCTCTAATCTTTATTATTTCCTCCCTCTACCATGTTTGTTTCTTTTTTTTCTAGTTCTTTTGAATATAAAGTCAGATTGTTTATTTGAGATTTTTCCTGTTGCTTGGGATAAGCCTATATGGCTATAAACTTCCCACCTAGAACTGCATTTGCTGCATCCCTTACATTTTGGACCATTGTCTTTCTATTTTCATTTATCTCAAGGTATTTTTTAATTTCCTCTTTGATTTCTTTCTTGACCCAACAACTGTTTAGTCTTCCAGTATTTTTCTTAATGGAATGAGAAAACTTCTTTTTCCAAGGCCTTGGCGAGTAGAAGTCTCTTTCCATTGCATTGTTCTGTGTTGAGTCACATTCCACATTCCTGAATATTCCCATTCCGCTCTAATTCCTATGGGTAGGGGTTAAGATTGGGTGAGGAGATGCAGTATACTGGTTGGCTTAAGATAATCATGGCTCATGCCAGAGCATGGGCTGTGGACCTACCTCCAGCTCACAGGCTTCATCAAGAAGAAGGTAGATCCCTAAGAGAAAACAGGACACTGTATAGAAAGGAAGAAGAATGGACTCTAGGAGAACAATCAAATGTCTACTCCAGGATACATTTTTTCAGAGTATCCAGCTTCCCATGTACCACCAGTAGAACACAGAAACTTTTGTTATTTAGGCAGTTTTGTCCTTGGTTTTGCAAGTTGGTTCCTTATGAGCATATGCTAACCTTTAGAAGCCCATATAGAATTAAGGTGATAGTTTCAGTGGCAAACAGGCAAACTACAGTTTGCTATACTGTTTTGTTTGTCACCAGATGTTTCAAAAGTAAGAACTGGTATGCAGATGATGTGTCACCTTTCTTTTATATTTCCTACAGACAGTTATGGCACTTCTTGACAACAAGGTATGCCTCTCTCTCACAATACGTAGTTTTCTGCAGTAGTATATATCAAAGGAGTGGAAGTTTACATACACCTAGAATTCCAGGAATGCTTGCTGTAGGTCTCGTCTGTCAGAACCAGATGCAATCCACTGGTTCTGCCCCCCTGCTCCTTCTCATTCTCTGGCCATGGCTTCTCTTCTGCCTACCCTTTTCATATCGTTTCCTAAGATTCTGTCCTTTTCCTCCTTATTCACACAGTCACATTCCTTGGGCCACCTCTTCTATTTTCATGGCTTCTAACCCATGTGTTTATGCCAGGGACTTCTAAACCATCTTCAACCAAGCAAAAAACTTCCTCCTCTAGATGTCTATTTTATTTATTTATTTTTTTATTTTTATTTTTTTTGAGGACGATTAGCCCCGAGATAAGTACTGCCAGTCCTCCTCTTTTTGCTGAGGAAGCCTGGCCCTGAGCTAACATCCATGCCCATCTTCCTCTACTTTATATGTGGGACGCCTGCCACAGCATGGCGTGCCAAGTGGTGCCATGTGGGCACCCGGGATCCGAACAGGTGAACCCCGGGCCGCTGAGAAACGGAATGTGCACACTTAACCGCTGCGCCACTGGGCCGGCCCTAGATGTCTATTTTAGTGTGCATAACCAGTTCTTCCTTCCGTGTTGACTCTTGAATTCTAACCACCCTATTGTGCAAGCTAGATACTGGGAAGTTATCTTATATTTCCTTTTTTTAATCTTTACCCTCCCATAGCTGCTTGATTAGCAAGTCCTATGATTCTCTCTGTGATTATTTTCTGAATTCCTCACCTCCCTCCGTCTCTACCACCTTCATCTTAATGCAAGACCTAATTACTTCTCACCTGGACTGTTGCAGTCACCTCCTGAGCTATGTTTCCTGCCTCTAATTGCCTTCTTTTCCAGCCTGTCTCCAATCTGATTAGCAGAGTGGGCTTCCTGAAATACAAATTTATCGTGTCATCCTCCTGCCTAAAATGAAAATCTTAGCTTAGTGGGTCTCCACTGAGACCAGAGTGACGCACCTGTGGATATTTGGAAATGTGTAGAGACGTTTTTGGTTGCCATGGGACTGGAGGACACTACCGGCATTTGGAGAGTGGGGACCAAGATGCTATCCACCTCTCCGGTACCTGGAGGAGTAGTTCTACACAAAGAATGGTCCCATAATGCCAACAGTGCCTCTGTGGAGGGACGACACTGGCTGGTTCCCATTGGCTGGGTGAAAGTCCAAGCTCTTTAGTGTGACTTAAGCCCTCCATAATCTGATGACATTTCTGTTATCAATCTCACTGTCTCCTCCTTCCTCCCATTCATGCTCTAGGCCATGTTCCATCATACAGTTATGCCTTGCTGTTCCTTTTGACTGCTATGAGGCATAGCCAAGGTGTCACATATATTCATTAAAAACAAATACCTTAAGCTAATATTTCCCAAACTCCTACTGTGTGCAAGTGTTGGAGATATAAAATGAATAAGATGTAGTCTTTACCTTAAAGGTGCTCATGGCCTGGTGGGAGAGATACAAGCAAATGGATAATTATAAAACAACATGCTAAATAAAATATGCACAGGGTATTATGGGAGGACCATGAATGGGCACCAGAGGAGGAGAGGGGTAGTCAGGTAAGGCTTCCTGGAGGAAGCTGGTGGCCCAGCTGTGAAGGAGGGAAAAGAGTGGCAGGTGATGGATGTATTCCAGACCGCAGGGGCAAAGGTGCCTGGCCCTCATTTCTAAAACCTAATACCTTAGCCTTCCTTTTCCAAACTCCAACAAAAGTGCCAAAGACAGGGCTCTGAGGATGTCTACACTCTGTATGTGGGAAGAGGAGTCACCATGGAAATGATGGAAGATAGGTGACCACGAGAGGTCATATAATATGGAGAAAATCATGGCAGTCTAGAGGGCTCTGTGGAGACTCCAGTGGCCCCACGAGAGGCTCCTATGCATGTGAAGAGGGAGGAATTGGAGGGAAGAGAGATGGAGCAGGTGGGCTTCTCAACACAAGCTATTGACATGGCAGAGCTCATGCTGTGTGACATATTAGATCTGAAATGACTTCCTTTTTGTGCAATTGGCATGCATTTTTTTCCCCCTCCCCGAAGCCCCAGTACATAGTTGTATATTCTAGTTGTAAGTCCTTCTAGTTCTTCTATGTGAGCTGCCACCACAGCATGGCTACTGACAGATGAGTGGTGTGGTTACACGCCCAGGAACCAAACCTGGGCTACCGAAGCAGAGCGCACAGACCTTAAACTACTAGGCCATCAGGGCTGCCTCAATATGCCTTTTATAAATTAAGACTTTAGAGCCTTTTAAATGAATCCCTGGTGATTAAAAAGCTGTTCATGCCTAGGAAGTGCTCAGCTGTCTCCGTGTAAGTGTTTGATATCAGTAGACAGTGTCTTCAGTAATAAGCTCCCATGTTAAATAAGCAGAATGTCTTCAGTTACATGCATCAGAAAACAGGATTGTTGTGGCTTTGGGGTCAGGGCATGGAAACCACAAGCCCTTTACAGCTGGGAGCTTGGGTGATACTTGTTAAAATAGACTTCTCTCTCCATGATTTTTTTCCCATAGACCCACAGAGTTCCAGGGTTGCACATAACGTATATCCTTTGATTATTGCATTTATTCTAGATTTAAATTCCCTCAGAAAGGCAGCATAACCAAACTGTGAATTATCCTCTGTAACAGTCAAAGCTCGTTTTCTCAGATCTTCAGAATCTAGAATGTGGAAGTGGGAATGTCTCCTACGGGGCAGGTAAAGCCTGTTGTTTATTTATTTGAGAATAACTTGTGGGTAGGAGGGATAGGTGAATATATTTGTTATTTATTTTTCAATTTCAGTGTACTGTTTTGAATAGGCCATACATTTCCGTAGTCAAAATCCAGAATATACAAAGAACATAAAGTGAGGTCTCTCCCAGCCCTGTGCCCCAGGCTCCCCGTTCTCCTCTCCAGGACTGCCATGTTAGCAGTTCCGTGATAGCCTTCCAGAGATTGTCTATATAGTACAAGCAAACAGGCGTGTAAGTGTGTCAGATGGAGCCCTTTGGAAGCAGGAGAGGGAGGTGACATGCCCGAGGTCAAAGCACAAGGCTGCAGCCAAAGGGACCCTGTGTCTGCAACGTGAGTTCCCTTTCTACTGGGAAAACAGAATCACCTGGGGTGCTGCAGCATTGAGAGCATTGTTAGCAGATGATGGGGTTGTAACCAGCCCACTTGTTATTAACCAGGCCTCTCCTACCCAGATTCTGAGATAAGCCGTCAGCTGGTGGTGGGAAGACACGGACCTGGGCTCCGGCCACCGGGTCTGAGTCTGTCTCTGCTGCCTCCCCGGGGTCCCTGGCCAGGCTTCAGGTTCCTTGACTGCACAATCAGAACATTACTGAGATGTTCTTTTTTTTTTTAAAGATTTTTAAATTTTTTTCCTTTTTCTCCCCAAAGCCCCCCAGTACATAGTTGCATATTTTTCATTGTGAGTCCTTCTAGTGGCATGTGGGACGCTGCCTCAGCGTGGTTTGATGAGCAGTGCCATGTCCACGCCCAGGATTCGAACCAATGAAACACTGGGCCGCCTGCAGCGGAGCGCGTGAACTTAACCGCTCGGCCACGGGGCCAGCCCCTGAGATGTTCTTTATGGTCATTTCCAACTGAAAAACTAATCTCTGATAGGAAAATGAATGGCTTTGTGCTTAAAAACCTTAAAAACACTTTTTTGAATGTTTACCCAGATATTTTTAGATATGTAACTAAAACTAAATCTTTATGATTACACCAAATTAAGAGCCAGTTTAGGAATAGTATTCCAGTAAAAGTTTTTGAAACTGGGCACCTTAGTGCTTTTATTTGTTGTGATAATCAGAGAGTGATGTCTGTGTCATGTCCCCAGTGCCTGGGGCATAGTATGCATTTGACTAATTAATAACAATAGTAACAGCAACAACAACAATAACAATAACAGCTAACATTTACTGAGTACTTACCACATGCTTGGTACTTGACATTGGGTATCTCCATCAGGCAACAGACAGCTCTAGGACACCTACACTGTTAGCATCCCTATATTCCAGGCATGAGGAAACTGACACAGAGATTAAGTCCCACAACTCATACCTTTGAGACCAGCACCTGACTCCACACAGGCTGTCGCTTACCTGTGCAGTCTGCCTGGAGGAGAAATCAATGAGTGATGATCCGAAGCTGGTAATTTGAGAGTGGGTATCAATAATCATAAAAAAACACGCTGTCTTCTGCCTTCCAGAAAAAACTCCCTCTGACAGCTCTGGCTCAGAACATGCAAGAAGCATCAACTCAGCTGGAAGACTCCCTCCTAGGGTAAGAGTTGGCCGCTTTCAGAAAGAGAGCAGGTGTCCTGGGGCTCAGTGGAGGTAGATGGCTGGGCGGTGTCCATGGCCCATGTGTGACCAGAGGGGCCCTGAGATGATGGCACTGGCTCATCTACAAGGAGAATGGCCCGGGCTCCATGGAGGAAGTGGGGCTGAGGCCACTGGGGTGCTGGAGAATCTTCCTTTTAGGAGAAGCAAGGATGGATGATACGAGGGGCTGCTAACGAAAGCAGTTGATAGGGTCAATATCTATCCCCTCAGCTTGGGTATAAAGAACTCAGTTCCTGCCCTGTTCCAGGTATTGACGCAGATTTATAAACTCTAACTAGTCACTCCGAGTCCTTAAGAGTCCCTTCCTTGAAGGGTAGTCATCATAACGTCAGTGGTATTGTCTCAAAATAGTGTGTTTTCTGAATTATTTGGATTTTTTTTTTTACGATGGACATGTATTATATAAACAGTTTGAAAATCTAATAATAAAGCTGTTTTCATTATAAGTGGGGAGGTTTACCCTTCTTTCTATCTGCTTCTCCAGGAGGCCAGTGTCCTTTAATCCTGTCTGCTTTCTCCTGTGGTAATGTAGGCCCTGCTTCCCAGCTGGGCATGATCTTTGGGCTTTTCAGCCCATTTCCTGGGGTCTGCCATGATGTATGTCCTACGATTCTCCCTTTGTTCTTTGAAGAATAGTGGCTTCCTCCCACTCTTTCCCCTTCCTTTGTCCTGTCTATGCTCCCATACTTGGGGGCACTGGCCCTGAGAGGAGGGTGGCACATACCTCCATGCTGGCATTCTTGTTCCTCCAGCCGGGATGTGTTTCCATGTTTATATTTTGTCATACCGTCATCTTCAACACCCTTATTGGCAGAGTGTTGCTCTGTGCTAGCACTGTCCTACATGCTTTCCGTGTAATTACTCATTCAATATTCAAAACAACCTGGGAGGTAGGTGATACTGGTATCCCACTTATAGATGAGGAAGTTCACAATCATAGAGGGTAGTAAATTGCCCAAGACCAGAGAGCTGTAAGTAGCAAAGCCTGTATTCACACTCAGGCAGCTGGACACTAGAGATCATGTCTTAACTACAGCCCCATGGCCACCTCATGCCAGTGCCACACACGTCTAATTTCAAAAGAGCCCCACAGAGAGCTAGAGGGGGAGGGGCGAGAAAGAAAGAAGAGAGGGAGGCACACAGACAGAACAACTGCGTCCTTTGCGGATGTATTCTGTGGGACATCAACTCTATGCTCACAGAAAATCAAAAGGAAACACGAGTTTCATGTAATACAGCCCTTAAGTGTTAGCCCACTGTCTCCTCTGCCCAGTAGGAAAGCAGCACTTGTGTTAACTCTGGAGGAAACCCTGCCTGGGTTGGACCCGCTAGCAGACATGAAACCATACGTAATGAACTTTACGTGTGATTGTAGAGACTTTCAGGGTGCTTTTGAGAACACTTGATTTTCACTTGCCCTGAAAACCTAATCCTTGAGGGAGTTGTGCCCTCACTGTTTACACACATCACCCACACACACACAAGGTGGGACATGGCGATCAAGTGCCTGATTTAATGAACACCTGCTTGTTGTTGGGGCGTCTTGTTTTTAAAGGAAGATGCTGGAGACGTGTGGAGATACTGAGAACCAGCTGGCTCTAGAGCTCTCTCAGCATGAAGTTTTCATTGAGAAAGAGATTGTGGACCCTCTGTACGGCATAGCAGAGGTGGGTGCTGTCACTCCAGGGTGGAAGAGCCAAGACTGGTTCAGGCTGGGTGGTGAAGGGTTTGCTTGTGTCTAATTTTAACGATAATCAGTGGCTTTGACATACACTTCTTTTTGGAAATAAGGGGAGTAAATTGAGGATACACAATCCTCTGCCAAAGAGAAAAAAATTGCAAACAAATATTGTACTTTCAAATGTTAAGCTCAAAATCCCAAAGCTCATCCCATTTGTTATGTGATGTGTTCTTCTTTCTAGGTGGAGATTCCCAACATCCAAAAACAGAGAAAACAGCTTGCTAAATTGGTGTTAGACTGGGATTCGGTCAGAGCCAGGTAAGGTAAAACTATAAAAATAATCAATATTGCAGTGTTATGTCACATTCCTAGCAACCGTCCCCATCCCCAACATGGATGAGAGAAAGACCATTGAGGGGACAAAATGGGAGTCGTCACAGATTCATACACTTGACCCATAGACCAAGTCACAGCCCGCTACACATATTTTTAGGCCTCATTCGCCCAAGCACAGCAGTGGGAATGATCTTAGAACATCCTGTTCTTAGGGAACCAACAGTGAAAGGAAAAAAAAAGAAAAAGAAACCTAAATAAGTGTTTTAAGGGGAGAAAAGATGGTGGCAGACAGTTCTAAGAGTTGTTGTTGGCATAGTGAAGTGCAGGAATAAATAGATCAGTGATCTCAGCAGCTCCTGAGGGTCCCACTATGTCAAAACCCTGTGAATTTATGATTACCCTTCACAGTCAAGAAATGCTTTGCTCCAAAGGGAGGAACTAAGTAAGACCAAGTAACCATGCCAGAGGGCTGTTGACCAGCGGGTTGATGTCAGATAACCAGCCCATAGTGCCTCTTGGCAGGGCCCCAGCCTCAGCTCTCACCTTGAGGGCGTTTGTGTCTGTGATGTGTGTGGCTTTCTCCTCAGATCAATGAGAGCTGGGAATAGGGAGACAGCCACCCTTGGCCTAGTCCTTTCTCATACTTTATCACGGGGTTGACAAACTTTTTCTGTAAAGGGCCAGAGAGTAAATATTTTCAGCTTTGCAAACCAAATGGTCCCTGTTGCAATTACTCAACTGTGCTGTTGTAGCATAAAAATAGCCCTGGACCATCCATAAATGAATGAGCACGGCTGTGTTCAAATAAAACTTTATTTACAAAAACAGGTGGCTTTGCTGCAGTCTTGTGAAGTAGATAGGGTTATTTCTCTTTGACAAGTATATGGAGATACAGCTATCATTTTCTGAGTTTCTACATGTCAAATGCTTTTATCACAGATTTAGAAAACCTGTAACAATGCTGCACTTCCTTGTTTCTAAGATGCGGTTGAGTATCAGATGCACCTCTGATTTAATACCTGTTCTTTTGGGGGAAAAAAAGAAATACCACTTCATTAAATGTACAAATCAATTGTTAAGACATGTCCTGTGGCCAGCCTGGTCACTTTGTGGTTAAGTTCACATGCTCCGCTTCGGCAGCCCAGGGTTCGCAGGTTTGGATCCCGGGCACAGACCTATACACCATTCATCAGCCATGCTGTGGTGGTGTCCCACATGCAAAATAGAGGAAGATTGGCACAGATGTTCGCACCAGGGACAGCCTTTCTCAGGCATAAAGAGGAAGATTGGCAACAGATGTTAGCTCAGGGCCAATCTTCCTCACACACACACACACACACACAAAAGACATGTCCTGATTTAAGAAGTGTTGAGGGGATAAAGGTATGTCCTGCAATTAACATGTGGTAAAATGATAATTACTACCATGTACTGGACATTTGCCACATGCCAGGTGTTGAGCTATGTACGTAATAAGTCAGCTCATTTGATTCTCCCACCAATCCTTATTCATTTGCTCATTCATGCTTTCAACAAATATGGATTGAGTGCTAACTGTGCATCAGACTCTATGCTGGATACTAAATGCAGAGGACCCTCAATGAGAGTTTGAGAGGGAATGGGTTAGCAGATTATATAACATCCCCTACTTTTGAGAGACACTTGTTTTACAGAAAAGGGAGGAACCTACATATAGTGTCTCTTATGACTTGCTTCATGCCTTAGAGATAATAAATGGCAGAGTTAGGATGCTGACTGCAAAGTCCACCATCTCCTTGTCATGTATACACGTGAGATTAGAATCCTGTGGGCCAGGACCAGGCAGTGGTCCTGAGGTAGAGTTTTGTTCAAGATAAGGAAGAATGTTCTAATGGTTAATTAAACAAGCCTGTGAATACTCCCTCACTGGAGTTGGTTGAGCAGTATTATAGATGCTTACCTGCCAGGAGTTTTGCATCTGCAACACACGTATCCTGTCGGAGATTTCAACAGATTCTTGATCCTGCATGCATAGTCTCGTTCACTTAACTATCAAAGTAGGTATTGGAGAATCTGAAACAATTGAATATTTCTTCTTTACTTTTACTTATTCCTATGGCTTTTCCCCAGAGGGAAATGATACTAGCTAACGTTAACTGGGGATTGGTTATATGTCAGACTGTATGTGCACACACACACATGTACATGTATATTTTTCTCTCCTTTGCTCCTTACAACCATTCTGCAAGTCAGATGGTGTTTGTTATCTTAGTTTTACAAATGAGGCCTCTGAGGTGCAGAGTTTAAGTCATGGCCCAAGGTTCACACAGCTAGTGAAGGTAGAACTAAGCTTCAAATTGAGCATGTCAGACTCCAAAGTCCATGCTCCGTCCACTGCATAGCATCGCGAGTTTTGCTTCAGCAGGTTGCTGAAGCCTGGCTCTGGAGGAGTGCGTCACATCAGGAATGTGGAAGAGGGCGGAGCATAGTGCTCTAGGGGCGGGGCAGCATCTGGGAAGTTGACAAGTTAGCAACATGGGTTTTCATGTTGCATCTGTATAATATCTGTGTTTCAAATGTTAGAACTTTCCACAATAGCGGGCATGTCCATATTCAAAGAGAAGGTCAAAACACAATTGAAAACCAAATGGAAATTGTTTTAGATATTACCCCCCATGCACCTCCCTGCTCTCGCTACAGTATGATTCTTTTTTCTTTCAGTCCTTTTGACTTACTGTAAGAGGAACGTAAATATTCCACATTATGTTTCAGGTTTGTCACAGATACTGTCTTTAGAATATTCTTACAAGTGTTTTTAATTTTTAAAGTGCTGTCATAGCTGTCAGTTGCTGGCTACAAGATTGAAGTTCTGGATTTTACCTGCTGAAAGTAATCACGCATCAGGATGGTAGAAGGAGGAGCCACAAGGGATCCTCAAGAGCAGGAACTGACTCTCAGTGGCACAGGGAACATTCCAGGTCAAAGCAGGAGAGCAAAGGGGTTTTCGTGGCAAGGAGGCCATGACTGGACACTACAGGAAAGGGGTTTCACAGATTGATTTCCAGCAGTGGGGCTTGTGTGAGACAAGATGTGGTAGGTTCTGCTCAGAGCAGACAGCCACTCCCAGTACTGTGAGAGTCCTGTCATGGTGGGAAGCTAATGTTTCTTTTTGCCTGCTTCCATTCCTAAAGGATAAACTCCAGAGAAGCTGGCATCCTAGGGACTGATACCCATCCCAGGTAGAGTCAGTTTTGGGAAAAGAGTCTGTGTCCATTAGGTCCTTCAGCCTGAGGTTGAGTCTGTACAGCTAGTTCTCAGATACTGGCTACCCCTGTGTTTTGCAGGTGGAACCAGGCTCACAAATCTTCAGGAACCAACTTTCAGGGACTTCCATCAAAAATAGATACCCTAAAGGAAGAGATGGATGAAGCTGGAAATAAAGTAGAACAGTGCAAGGTATGAGAATTTCCTAATAAATATGTACTTCCATCAATCTTTTGGTTTTTGCACATGATGGATGAAAGGTCAAATATTGCAAATTATTTAATGTTTCCTGTAATTTCTATCAGAATACCCTGAATGCTATTAGAGGTGGTTTTTGTTTTCTGCTCCCTTGTTTCTTTATTTTCCGAGACTCTACATTACCTTATAATCAGAATAAAACAGTCTTATAAAAAATTGAAGTAGGATATTTGTTGAAACTTGACAAAAACGTCCAAACTTACTTAAAATAAAGAATAGGTAAAAAAAGGGAGAAAAAATATAGCAAGACATATCATAAAGTTGCAGCAATTAAAACTGCACAATAGGCACAAAAATAGGTCTGTGAAGTAGTATAGGCTTTCTAGAATGAATGCTCTTATATTTCAAGATTGAATATATATAATAAATGGTCATCATATTTCCGTAGAGAAGGAAAGGATTATTATTTATTTATTTATTTAATTTTCTTTTGAGGAAGATTAGTCCTGAGCTAACATCTACTGCCAGTCCTCCTCTTTCTGCTGAGGAAGATTGACCCTGAGCTAACATCGTGCCTATTGTCTGCTATTTTATATGTGGGATGCCTGCCACAGCATGGCTTGATAAGCAGTGCATAGGTTCATGCCCAGGATGAAAACTGGCGAACCCTGGGCCGCTGAGGCGGAGCACATGAGCTTAACCACTGCACCACCAGATCCGCCCCAGGATTACTTTTTAAATGTTGCAAGAACAGTTGATTTGTAATTTGAGAGAAATAAAACTTTTTGTCTAATAAAATAATTCCAAATTAGATGGTTAAGTGATCTCAGTTTCTATGCGTCTGTCTAAGAAGATAGATGTTTATTGCCAGTGTTATTTGAGCTAGAAAAGAAACAGGTCTTTTGGGGGCTGGCCCCGTGGCCTAGTGGTTAAGTTTGTGCACTCTTCTTTGGTGGCCTGGGTTTGTGGGTTTGGATCCTGGGCGCAGACCTACACCTCTCATCAGCCATGCTGTGGTGACGGCCCAAATACAAAATAGAGGAAGTTTGGCACAGATGTGAGCTCAGAGCTAATCTTCCTCAAGCAAAAAGAGGAAGATTGGCAACAGATGTTAGCTCAAGAGTGAATCTTCCTCACAAAAAAACAAATAAATAAATAAAAATAGATCTATGAAATTCTAAGTGTATGTGTATATATTCATATATATATGAAAATTGGAACTATATATACCCAATTGCCTAATCTATCACTTTTTAAAAATTATTTAATTTTTATGTAAGTTATTCTCTTACGTTAGTTCAAATATCAAAACAATGTACAGTAAAGTCTTTCTTCCACCCTTGTCTTCCTTATGCCTAATTTCCACTGCTCCCGACAGGGTAATAACAGGTAACCACTGTTATTAATTTCTCGCTGTTTCTTCAGAGATATTTTTATACAAATACGGTGATAAAAAGATTTCCTCTCCTTTTTTGTACCCAGATAGTGACATACAGTAAATAGTGCTCTATACTTCACTTCTTAACACAGTATGTTAACAATGTACCTTGGAGATCTTTCCATGTCAATCTGTAATAAGCTTCCTTATCTTTTTTGTCATCCCACTGTATGGTTGTACCAGCCAATTGGTGGATATTTTGTCTGTGGCTGTTTCCATCACATTTTGCTCTCAGAGCTTATGGAGATTAGTTCTCAGGTGCCATTTTCTTTCACCTCTTTTTTCTTCAATGACATAGCTTCTCTTGTACTTGCCCAGGATCAGCTTGCAGCAGATATGTACAACTTTATGGCCAAAGAAGGAGAGTATGGCAAATTCTTTGTTACGGTAAGCACCGTGCCCTGACAAAATGTGGAAGCATTGTAAAAACTGAGTCATTTTAGCTTTTTTGCAAAAGATTTCATTTTTGGTTTTGCTCAGCCATTGTGTGTGTATCCATCCAATGCTAACGTTACTTTTGTTTTTGAATGTGGGTCTGTTCTCAGTTATTAGAAGCCCAAGCAGATTACCATAGAAAAGCATTAGCAGTCTTAGAAAAGGCCCTTCCCGAAATGCGAGCCCATCAAGGTAATGTAACCTGCGTGCTGGCTGATGCCTCCTTCTCGCCTCTGCCACCTCTGCCTCTGTTCTTCTTCACCCTGGCTCCTTTGCATGCATTTCCTTTGGATGAAGCCGCTCTGCCGAGGAGGGCATATTTCCCAGCATAATTTCATCTTTCCTTGCTGCATTCTCTAATTTCTTCCAAACTCAAATTAACATACTAATGGAACGTTTGCAGTTCTTTTGAAATCTTCAGTTGAAGAGAAAGCTGTACTCTTTGGGGGAGTGCCCATATGTTTTTCTGTCTTCTAAATAGGCTGGCAAAATTCTAGCCTCTAATTATCCTTTTCCACATCAGATATCTGTTCCATAGAGCTTAATTCTGGCCCTGTGACTCCAAGGGCATGCATTCTAGAGAAAGTATTTGGACCTTCCAAATTTTATTTAATTTAATTTATTTATTTACTTATTTTTTGAGGAAGATTAGCCCTGAGCTAACTATTGCCAGTCCTCCTCCTTTTTGCTGAGGAAGCCTGGCCCTGAGCTAACATCCGTGCCCATCTTCCTCTACTTTCTATGTGGGACGCCTACCACAGCATGGCGTGCCAAGCGGTGCCATGTCCGCACCCAGGATCCGAACCGGCGAACCCCGGACTGCTGAGAAGCGGAACGTGCGAACTTAACCGCTGTGCCACCAGGCCAGCCCCAAATGAAATTTTAGAAGCCAGACTTGGTACCCCATCATCAGGCACTTAATCCATGTGATTGAATCATAAGAGCACGACCACTTCTTTCAGACCTCTTCCTTGTCTTTACACAGACTCTCGTCCTCATCAGCACTCATATTTGGCCCACTTACTCAAGCATAGTGCAGATTTTACCCACAAGTTATGAGTGCACTGAACTTCCCCTGATGTTTCATTTTAATTGAACATTAAAGCTTTTGATTCTAATTCTCTCTGATTTGCCGTCAGAGTGTTTACCAGCAGAGATCAGCACACGTTGTTGGGACAGAACTTGCCCTGTCTTCTTTGGACCTAGTGGTATAGCTCCCACATTTGGAGCTTAGGTTCCCCTTCTGAAACCATTGGCCTTGAGCTGAAAGAGCATCAAGCCAGGTGCCAAGTGTGATGACTCTGTGATTGTGAAAGAGAGCGAGCAAGTGTGTGGGTGGAATGTGTGTGTTGTGGATATGCACACACACTAACCATCTCAAGAATGCCTCTTCTTCACCCCTAAATTTCAAGAGGTCCCAATAGGTTCTGGCTCTGTGCCTGAAAGATTTTAGATCATGGAATTAGAAAATTCTATATCTTGACCCACTGCATAGCCACATCATCAGCAATCTTGAGTCAATGTGTCTGATCTGCTCTGAAATTCTTCATAGGACGAGCTGCCCTTGCTTTTCCTAAGTGATCCAATTTCCTAGTTCGTGGATGATGAGCTTGCGTCATGGTAAAAAGGAATGAAGCCACTGGCGAACATTCTGCCTGGCACGGGGCAACCTGTCTTGCTGGACAAGTTCAGAGCGCCAAGAACATGGTTTATAGGATACCTGCTGTGTGCAAGGCCCCGCACAGAACAAAACAGTCAACATCATCATCTTAGCCTGTGCAGGGCTAACGTCTGGAAGCGTTGACTAATAGGGACACAAAAGAGAAGATTTCTTTAGCAGTCTTTTAAAAAAAAAAAAACAAAAACCTCCCATTCTATTTTTTTTCCCAAGCTGTTTTCCCTAGAGAAGTATGTTGGAAAGTCAGGGGGCCCAGGAAGCGGGCGGGGAAGAGGTTGAGGATGGAAGAAGGAGAGCTGGCATGGGCACGGGTCGGGGGAGCAGGCAGTGCAGGAAAGGTGATCCGCCTTTCCTTCCTCTCCGCTTGCCGCGTTCACCTCAGCCTTGGACTTCCACCGGTTCCCCCTCTGCCTGTCCTCCTGTCGACGTCTCGTCTGAGTCCTGTCTTCCTCTTCCTTTTTCTTCTTCTCTGTTTTCAGAAAGACTTAGAGTGTCCTTATGATAGAAAAGAAAAAACTGAAATCCACTGACCACCATGCCCCTGCACACCCTGATGTCACACTCACAGTCACCTGACCTCACTTTCCTAGCTACCTACCTACCTGTCCTCCACCTGCTGTCCCATGTCATCTCAGTCTCCTTCATTTTTCTGGGAGGCTGTTTGAAGGACTTATTTCCACCTGCCACTTCCCTTTTCTTCCCACTTTCCCAACCATTAACACTTTACAGTCTGGTTTCTTCTCCCAGTCACTCTGCTATTAAAAAAACTCTACAAACTCTACAAACATTGTAGTTCCCAGAGGACCAATGACCATTCCATTGTGGGGCCTGGCATTCGACACAGCCTGAGCCGTATTTCTTTGATAAAATTTTTCCTTCATTTCACCTGATTGTTTTCTTTCATTGTTAGGGCTGTATTTTCTCCATTTCTGTCCCCTCCACAGGAGTCATTCTTTTCTGAGGTCCTGTCTTTGCTGCTCTCTTCTTCTCTCTCTTCCTCCCTCTCACATCTCTTTTTTCCTAGAAATCCCCTCATTTTGACAGCCTCAGCTCTTACCTTCATCTTCATCCTCACGGCCTCCTAAGCATCAGTTCCCTTTGATGACTGGCCGTCACCTTCAACTCAGCATATCTCAGCAGATTCTACCCCCACACTAGCCAGTCTTTCCTCCCACGTGGCCTCCTTCATTCCACCATCTGCAAACAATCCAGGTTTGAACTCTTTGAGGCCTCTTGGCCTACCTTTCACTGGGTTCTGTCCATTTTCCCTGTGCTGTGCCTTCCTCTCCGTGCCCACTGTCCCACTCTGCTCATGTCCTCATTGCCTTGTGCCTGAGCTGTGGGATAAAATGTGAATGCCCTGGTCTTTTCTCAGCCCAAGTCTTCTCCATCTATTTAGTTCCTGTCTGTCTTCTAAGCTCCCCTCCTTTGAGAAGCCTTCTCTGAGAACTGAAGCCAACAGTGAACACTTGTCTGCTGAATTGCTCTAGCATTTATGGTCTACACTAGAAGTCGCAAACAGCCATATCTCTTACTAAAAAAAATTATTTTTAAACAAGTTGCCATCATTTAAAACCCAGATGCTTTCACGTAACAATCCTGATTTCTGGCTTCTCTTATAAATTCAGAAAGCCTGGTGACAGTGGATCTGCTTTCCCACATGGCAACATTGGTCTGGCACCCAGGAGCAACTGCTGCCTTTCAGCAGACCGCGCACTCCCCAGCCTGATTCAGCGCCTGTGGTGCCTGTCCTGCCCCTGTAGTCAATTGTGTTTGTGACCCTCGTCTATACCATTTTCTGCCATGACTTAGCAAACATGCCTTGTCTTGTTCATGACTGTTGTATGTTCACATGTCTGTCCTGTATTTTGTTCCCAATTCGACTGCTCTCATTCGGAGGGTGGGGAGTCTCTATGAAATTTGTGTGTCTGCTGCAGGGCCTGGCCCCTAAAAGGCCTGTTGTGTGAGAGGCCAGCACCTTCGGTGGAGTTTGTCTCTCCTAGGAGTTGTCTCTAGGTCAGTGGTGCTCACATCCACCCTCTGCCAACATTGCACCAAGGTGAGGGGTGGGCACGCTGTTCAGTGTTTACTAGGAAGTTCCAGCAGGAGTTTGGAGGATGCATGCCTCTCAGTATCTCAGGGTCAAGCATATGGTGGAGGTGATGGTGGGTGTGATTTGCACAACTCTGGGTGATTCTGATGTGTTTCCCCAGGGAAAGGGTCAGGGGGCCATTTTCTGCCCATGTCAAGAATCGTTGCTTTAGATAAAAGGGACAAAGTGTTCAAGGTAAGATCTGGCCTCTGAGGGGACTATACCAGAGCTCTGTCTTCTGAGAAGGGCCAGGCCCCCGTGGGATGCGTTTTCTCTCAGGAGTTACCCTGGCCAGGGTGGGGCCAGAGACAAGGGGCACTCCTGACCATTCTGAGAGTAGTCTGCTCTTTGATTTTGTTCACCGCCTCCCTTAACCTTGCCCGCTTCCTCGGCCTCTCCCCAGCTTGCCCTTTCTGTCAATTTTTCCCTTTTCACAGGCGCTCTGGTCTCTGGGTGTGTGGGCTTCCCCTTTGTTCCTTCCCCCTGTGCGGACCACGTGGTGGGCCCTGCCCCTGCGCTTACGTAGGGAGAGTGTGAGAGGAGTCACTAGAGGAGCATCGCCTGCTTCGAATCCCAGATTCCAGTAGCCACGTGGCTGAAGGACAGATGTCCATCAGCAGTGCTGGGAAGGATGCTAGCCCTTGCTGTCCTGGAAAGAACTAAGTGTTCCTCAGCGGCGCACTTTTCCCCAGCGGGCTTTCCCCCTTTGTTCCTGTGCTTCTCTGACAGCGCTGGACCTCTGCAGCTCCCCGGGCATGCTGCGCCCAACCAGATACTGCATATCCGGGTTCATCACCTCCACTTGCTAAACTGTCGTTTCCATCTTACTGCTTTATTGTAGGTATTCCTGCTAAGCTGTCTCACATCTTTTGTGGAATGAAACAGAGCATATGACTTGCAAATAATAGAAAAGATTCCTTTCCTGCCGTCAGCTCAGCCTTCAGCTAAGCTGCTTTGGGGCTGCAGATACTGCGTTCTTTCCTACTCAGAACTTTATGAACCTATTTGGGGATATGGCATTCGGGAGCACTGCACGTCCTGGAGGTGTTGTGTCTAATATGAGTTCACGTGGGCCATTCCTGTCTTGTATGACAACTCTTGTCTCATGTTTAAAATTTTAAGGAATTATTTCCTTTTTCACATTGAAGGAGTCCTCTAGATAGAAGACTGTTGATGCTCTGCAAGGCTAGAATAAATATCTTGTCAGTGAAAACCATGTGCTCAGATGAATCCTTGGTTTTTGCACAAGGCGGCCCACCTGCCTGTGTTAATGTGGGCAGGGTGCAGGTGCAGGAGCGCCATCATGACTCCTCCTCAGCAACTCGTGTTAGGTCTTATGTAGGCACGTTCAGGGCTTCTGTTCCATGAGTAGCCTCCTAGCCTGTCATACCTTCTGTGCTCTAGGAAATGGTCAATACCAACTGCAAAAAGAACAGGTGTTTCCCCTTTTCCCAAAGCCTCAACTACCGGCCTCCTACAAAATATCCCCTTTGTTAGTTTGGGCAGTGAATAACTTGCTGACACTGTGAGGTCGTCAAGTGTCTTACTGAATGGTGTGCTGCTCTCTAGAGAAGTGGGCGGAAAAGCCAGCCTTCGGAACCCCTTTGGAAGAACACCTGAAGCGGAGCGGGCGTGAGATCGCACTGCCCATTGAAGCCTGTGTCCTGCTGCTCCTGGAGACGGGCATGAAGGAGGAGGTGAGGGGCCGTGTGGGCCTGCAGGCCACGTCTCCGTGCCCAGAGCACCCCACCTCTGTCACACAGCCACTGTTGAGACTTTGTAGACCAGTGGCTTTCAAGCTTTATTTGCTGTGGCCCGCATGTAAAATCGAGACCCTGTTCATTATACCTGGTGGGGGTGTTGGAAATGAAACAGAGCTTTCGCAGAGCCATATTTGCCTTTCTGCCTGCAGGACATTCTGACTTCTTTTTGTCCCATTTGATTGTTTCATTTTAGACTCTGGTTGTGATTTGTGAAAATTAATTTCATGACAGACTAATGGACCAGAGCTTCCGTGAGCTTTAGGGTTTTTTTTGCCAGGATCTTAGTTTTGTGTAGCGCTGTGCAGTTTAGGGCGGACATTTACATACCCCGTGAACCAAGCAGGGCAGGTCTCATTACTCCTCTTGTAGAGATGAGGAAACCAGCAGGCAAGGAGTTCACCCTGGGGCAGAGCCAGAATCAAAAGGCAAGTCTGTGTTTTCCTTTTTAAAACTTTTTATTGAAGTGAAACGTACATGCAGAAAATTTTACCTATCACAAGGGAACCGCCTGAGAAGTTTTCCCAAACTGAACCCACCATGGAATCAGTACCCACGTCAAGAAACACCCCAAAAGCCCACCTTGTGTTTGCTTCCAGTCACTAGCCCTCTGTCCCCACTGAGGTGACCCCAACTTCTAATAGCCTCAATCAGTACTTGTCATCCCGGGCCCATGTTGTCCCCCTCACGAGACATTTGGCAAGGTCTGGTGACACTGCTGCTTGACATGACTTGGGGTGGGGGAGGAGTTGCTACTGTCATCTAGCTGATAGAAAGCAGGGATGCTGCTGAACATCTCACAATGCCCAGGCCAGCCACCACCACCAAGACTTATCTGGCCCAAATGTCACTACTGCAGAGGTGGCGAAACCTGCCTAGATTAATGTCTTAAAATTCAAGTCTTCGAACTCCTGGGCCAATGTCTTCATCTTCCTGCCTGTCTTGGTGGACCCTTCATGTGTTTCTCTCCCCTTCTCTAAGTGACATTTAGGGCAGTAATGTGACTAGCAGCCTAGTCTAATAAGTTTTCTTGAAATGTCAGCTTTTTAAAAATATTCCTAAATTTAGAAAATCTATAGCAATCAACCTTGGAGAAGTAGAAACTATTGCATTTAAATAGATTTCTAATAGGCACAGGTAGTTTAGCAGTGGAGCAGGGCCAGAGCTGGCATTGATTACAAATGGACTCCTCTCTGCCTGCTGCTGTGCCCCTGGGAACATGCTGGGTCCTCTTCCCTCCCCCTGACAGCCCTGCAAGGCAGGCAGTGTTACCCCTCTCTCAGCTGGGGGGCGCTGGAGTTGGGGGGTGGGGAGGAGGGCTCTTCCATCAGAGTTTTACTCCTGCTCAGTGTAAGGCTCACACCTTGAACTTGATCCTGATGGCTTTTCATTGTCTTTAGGGCCTTTTCCGAATTGGGGCTGGGGCGTCCAAGTTAAAGAAACTGAAAGCTGCTTTAGACTGTTCTACTTCTCACCTGGATGAGTTCTACTCAGACCCCCATGCTGTTGCAGGTGAGCTCTGAGGAGTCACCCTCAAGGTGGCGGGCAAGTCCTATCTCAGACAGACCATCAGTTCAAAATCCACTTTTAACTGTAGGTTTAAGTGAAATGGTCTCCTTCTAGGTTTAAGTGACAGAACTGAAATGTCAAAGAAAGCTGAAAAACTATGCATATAAACAGTTTATACACACACACACACACATATGTTCTAGTTCTGCTTTTTGTTTTTTGTTTTCCTGATGATTAAGTAAAGGTGAAGGTAGCATATAATCCAAATATTTGGAGACATGCTTCTGTTTTCTTCCCTTCTTTCACCCCCAAAATCTAGATCTGCCTGGAGAAATGATGACTATTAAGGAGATGGCTTTGAAGCTCATTTTATTTTCTGTTGCTCTCAATATATTTTGCAAGGGACCGAAATTGTTTTTTGAGCATTTCATTCTCTAACCTCTAGTACCAAATGATGATTTGTTCTGTATATCTTGGAACATTATAACTGAGGTCATTTCTCTTTGCAAAATAATATGTCCCCGAGATTCCCAGCCTCACCGCTTTTCAGACTCAAAGAGAATGTTAATAATTTCAGGTGCTTTAAAGTCCTATTTACGGGAACTGCCTGAACCTTTGATGACTTTTCATTTATATGAAGAATGGACACAAGTTGCAAGGTAAGTTTAAAGAACACTGAGTTTTAGAAGTTAAAGGGAATGATGTAATATTGTGTCCCATTTGTAAATCATTGTACTCTCAGGGACCATAAAATAACTTTCAAATAGCCTATTTTTAAAATAATATGTGCCCCTGTTCTTAAGTTTAGGATGAAAATATTGAGTATCATAATTACTAGTGTAAGAAGGTCACCACTTATACATTGGCTTAAATTTGTGTGATTTATGTGGATGAAGACAAATAGTGGTGCATTGTACGTCTTCATATATATTATTGTGAATTTTTACGGAATGCTGTGGACTTTAATGGATTGGCTGATCAAAAATCCCTTTTCTGGGGCTGGCCCCGTGGCCGAGTGTTAAGTTCGCGCGCTCTGCTGCAGGCGGCCCAGTGTTTCCTTGGTTCGAATCCTGGGCGCGGACATGGCACTGCTCGTCAAACCACACTGAGGCGGCATCCCACGTGCCACAGCCAGAAGGACCCACAATGAAGAATATACAACTATGTACTGGGGGGCTTTGGGAAGAAAAAGGAAAAAAAATAAAATAAAATCTTTAAAAAAAAACCAAAATCCCTTTTCTATTAAATAAAGCCCTGTCACTGGGGACAGGTGTCACAGCGGCCAGTGACAGTGTGCCTGTTGAGCTGCATGGAAACTCGGCTGTGCAATAGGACAATGTTGACGTTGTTAGTAACAATAGTCAACACTTATTGAGCATTTACTGTGCACGGTGTCCTGTACTAATCCTTATACCCATCACCTCTGCTAACCCATAGTTAATGACACAAAGGCAGGTGTGGTTCTCATCCTCCTTTTACAGATGAGGAAACTGAGGCTTGGGAAGGACCAGGGCCAAGGCAGTAGCAAGTGATTGGCAGAGCTGGAATTCAGCCCCAGACCCATCTCACCCACAGCCTGTGTTCCTGCTGTTCGGGCCTCCCCCTCCATCCTCAGCTTCTGTCTGTCTAGGAAGAGTTGGTTTAGGCAGAGCAGCCATATTTACAAAGTCCTGGAGGCTTCTCCCTGGCCGGCCACCCTGCTTCCTTGTTAACCTCCCTCAGGTTCTGACTTGCTTCCTCCCAGAGGTGCCTAATTCCTCACCCTGAAGGGAAGAGGAACAAATCTTCCCTCCCCTCCCATCTCCTTTCACCATCGTCAGACACTGTTACCCATTCCCATCAAATGGACCATGATTAGAAATAAGCAGTTTGTGGGCCCAGCCCTGTGGCCGAGTGGTTAAGTTTGCGCACTCCGCTTCAGCGGCCCAGGGTTTCACCGGTTTGAATTCTGGGCACGGACATGGCACCATTCATTAGGCCATGCTGAGGCAGCGTCCCACATGCCACAACTAGAAGGACCCACAGCTAACAATACACAACTATATACTGGGGGGGCTTTGGGGAAAAAGGAAAAAGAAAAAAATCTTTAAAAAAAAAAAGAAAGAAAGAAATAAGCCGTTTGCTCTGATCAGTTATACTTCAGTGGGATGTTAGTCCATCCCTTGTCACTTTAACCAGGCATTTGCATTCGAACTTTTCTCTGTAGCTGTGGAATGAGAGACTTTGTCCGTGGTAGATGGTGAGAATTTTAAAGTCAGAGTAAATCCTTAGATGAGGTTGTATTCTTGGGACCAACATGGGACCCAGCTTGCTGTACGTCTCTGTGTCTGTGGGACTGAATAACTGGGACTCAGCAATCACTGTCAGGTTGGGGAGATTTCTGAGATTTCTTTTACTGAGTAATGTTCATTCTTACTAAACCTTGACTCCTCTCTCTGTTCTGAGACTCCCAAACCCGTCCCTACGAGTAAGTAAACTTTTAAAAGAAGACATCTGTCAAGCCAGCCCTGATGGCCTAGTGGTGATAGTTCAGCATGCGCTGCTTCAGCGGCCTGGGTTCAGTTCCTGGCCACAGAACCACACCACTCCTCTGTCAGCAGCCATGCTGTGGTGGTGGCTCACACAGAAGAACTAGAAGGACTTACAACTAGAATATACAACTATACTGGGGCTTCGGGCAGGGGAAGAAATTTTTAAAAAAGAAAGAAAGAAAGATATCTGTCTTTTGGTATATTAATTCGATACTTGAGAAATGTCAGCACAGACCACCATCCTATCCTGGTGGCACATCGACTGGCTTCTAAAGTATAATTGTGTTTAACCTCTATTCTTAACTCTCCAGATTGGTTCAGTCATGGAGGATGTTTTAAGTCTGAAAGGATATTGTATAAGCAATTTCTAATGCTCTCTCCTACTGGTATGCAGAGTTGATTCTGCTCTGCAGGCTCTGGTCTGGCCATTTTATATGTCAATGAAAGTTTGCACATTGAAACTGTATAGCAGAGAACTCCTGTAATTGCTTCACAGCAGAAATGGGCTTCTTGTCTGGATCCTTTGAGCAGTATTGAGAGCTGGAAAAGACCTGGGGGTCTGGGTGACAGGAGCAATGCCAGCTCATCTGTGGCTGGGCCTCAGTTAGGACAAGAGATCTGGGCCCCAAGAAGCTGTATGTGAATACACACATTTTCTAGATAGAAGTTTCAGTGCTGTCTTGTCCTCTACGTGCCAAGCATTGGTCTAGGTGGTTTTGCATGGTGATACCACTGGAAACCTCACAGTCACTTGGCAGAATCAACATTCTTATCCACAATTTTGCATCAGGAGATTGAGTCTCGGTGAGGTTAGCTAACTGCTCAGAGTTATGTATTTAGTTGGTATTTGACTCCAGATCTGTTTATTTTCAAGATTGGTACTGTTTTCCAACTGTGCTTTCTTCATCAGTGGAGGCATCACTGTTAATGTGGCGCGTTAACACAGGTATTCCTCATATGTGTTTATGTAATATGAATAAAATTTTTTTCTCAGTGTGCAGGATCAAGATAAAAAACTTCAAGATTTATGGAGAATATGTCAGAAGTTGCCACCACAAAATTTTGTTAACTTTAGGTATGTATGATTGGTAATCTGCAAATTAAGCCACCAAATGACAGTGTCTCTGGAGTGAGGAAAGGTTTAATCCCCAGTAGAGAGGCCGTTTAATTTAGCCATACTTGGCACATTAAAATATGATTTGAAGAGGAGGAACTTGGGGTTTCTGGGAATGCAATTTGATGTATATTATTAGGATGCATCTGAGGCACCAGCATCATGTCTGGCCCTATTAGGTGAATTGCCTGATCATTTTACCACTGCAGCTATTAGAAAAAAAATTGTTGTGGAAAGTTTAGTTGACTGTGTGTTGGATTTGGAGTCTAAACTCCAGTATGTAGAAGGCAAAAATTAATTAATAGTTGTCGTTTTTGTGATATCTTTCATATATGCTACATAATTTATCTGAAATAGAATGTGGATCATCCTACTATAAAATTCCAAGAAATGGGCATTATATATTCCTTTATGAAATAACCATGTCTCTAAGAAAATTTACCATGCACTTATTTCTGGAATTTAACTTCTGTTTTATCTTTAACTTAAAACATAACTTTGAAGAAGCATAGAGAGAAGGGTAAAAGGTAATAAAATCATTTAAAACCAAAGAAAATTTTGTAAGAGGACGTGGTCCAAAATGATAAATACTTTACTGGTGAAGGTGTAGTATGTTACCTGACCTTTAAATTCAGTCTTAGGCTTGATCACTAAGCTAAGCTGAATATTCCCTTTTAATATGTTGTTTCAACCTTGCCTTATGAGTGCATTAATATTTATAATATCCCTCATTGATTTATTTAACACACCCATCTTAGAATTGCAGTACTCAAACTGGTCAATGTCTTATGGTGGAAACTGAATTATGGTTCTTAGTACTTTGGGATTTGGCCTTTATTTTGTTTATTTTACTCTTTATAATTTTTACTAATTGTTTTTTGAATAGAATGTATAGTCTCATGGTTCAAAATCCAAAAGGTGTACAGTTAAAAAGTTTGTCTCCTGGGGGCTGGCCCAATTGCCTAGTGGTTAAATTCAGCATGCTCTGGGTTTGGTTCCCAGGCACAGACCTACACCACTTGTCAGCGGCCATGCTGTGGCAGCAACCCACATACAAAATAGAGGAAGATTGGTAACAGATGTTAGCTCAGGGTGAATCTTCCTCAGCAAAAAAAAAACCTGTCTCCTGTTCCCGTCCCCCAGGCCACCTAGGTCCTCTCCTGAGACACAACCAATGTTTTTAGTTGCTTATATATTGTCTCAGTAAGAGTTAATGTATGTATAAGCAAATACATAACATGTGTACGTAAATACATATGTATGTACATTTTTTTCCTCTCACACCTTCCTTTTTATTTATTTTAAACCAAATGGTAGTATATATTGTACACATCATTCTCTTCCTTACCTTCTTTGCTTAATATATCTCTTGGAGATTTTTCCATTTCAGTACATAATAATTTTTTATGGCTGCATAGTACTCCACTGTATGGATATGTTGTGTATAATTTATTTAATCAGCCTCCTATTGATAGATAGTTGGATTCTTAATAATTTTTTGCTTTTATTATATATAAGAGGATATGTCTATATAATAAATTGGATATTTTTATAATTAAAAAGCATTTTCAAATATAGTTTCCTTTAACCAATTATACCTATGCTTCTATTTGTTTTTGTTATGTTTGTATTAAAAATATATTGAGTTCACTGTTAATCACATTGTCATTTATTTTGGGGTAGATAGATAGGGCTTAAAGGAGAGATGCATTAGAAATATGCAGCAAATAGAGGCTGAATCATTGAGGTTAACATTTGAGCTATTTTCCTCTTCCAAGCTCTAAACTAGTCTGTTCTCTGAATCGAAGAACACAAGAAATTTGTAAAATGCTTAGCCTGAGCGAGATTCTGATTTCGTCACACTCTGCAGTTAGCGCCTGAGCAATCTGGGACTGAGCACCTGGGCAGGAAGATGCTATTCCTGCACATCTTTCACAGTAGATGCTTTTCCACTTTCTCTTTTGTTTCATAGGTATTTAATCAAGTTCCTTGCAAAGCTTGCTCAGACCAGCGACATTAATAAAATGACTCCGAGCAACATTGCAATTGTGTTAGGCCCCAACCTGTTATGGGCCAAGAATGAAGGGTAAGTAATCTTTCCCTATATCATATTATTTTAAATTTTTCTTTCCACTTGATGGAAAGAATAAAAATATAATTCAAGATACACATTCTAGCGTAGGATGAACTTCAGAGTGTTCTGAAGTTGATCTTCCCATTTAGCCAACATTCTCAGAACATTGCTGTGAGCTGGGTCCTGTCAAAGAGACTGGTCACACAAAGGTGTATGAGACATTGTTCCAGTCCTCGAAGGGCCCCGCTCTTGGGCAGTTGGGCAGATGAACAGCTCTGGTACAATGATAAGCTCTGCACACATCTGTATGTGTGTATGATGTCACAGACATTATAAAGTATGATGGCAGCAAAACTTGCTGAAGGAACATGATTCAAGCTGCGAAGTTCAAGGAAAGCTCTGCACAGAAAATGGCACTCGAGCTGTACCTGGATGAATGAACAGTTTCTTACAGATGGGACCTGAACGAGCAAAGGCATTGCAGGCATGAACAAGGTGTGTCGCATGATCTTATGTAACTTGAGCACAGGGGCCATGAGGCTGCGACTGGGTGGCAGAGCCAGCTTGTGAAAGTCCTCGTGTATCTTGTTGAGCTATTTTGAATTTATTTTATTGGTCATGAGGGGGTCGGGGCATCAAGATCTCTAAGCCAAAGAATGACTTGATCAAATTGCATTTAGAAATATAATTGATTGGCATTGAGAAATGTAGCTTGAGTAGAGGAGAAGGATCAGGGAGGTCAGCTAGAAAGCTCTGGGAAATCGCTAACATAAATCTTTACTCTGTTGGAGGCATTATGATTATCTCCTGTAAGCCTCACAAATAACCTTTTGAAGTAGGTACAATTGTCCTCATTTTTACAGATGAGGTCACTGAGGCTTGGAGGGGACAAGTAATTTGCTTAAGGTTGCACAGCAGGGAAGTGGTGGAGCCCAGGTACTGGCTACAGAGTCTGTGTTCTTAACCTTCACCACCCTTCCCTGCCTCCTATGACTGCTGGTCAGCTTCATAAAATCCTGAGCAGTTCAAGTTTCCGTTAAAAAGTGCAGTGACCTTCTGAATCAAGGTCTTTCTTTCTACTTTTCATTCATTCATTCACTCACGCATGCCCAGTCTTGTTTCAGAAAGTATTTATAAGATTATTTGCAAAGATCCAATATCATAAAGCAAAATTAAAGATAAGTAAATATACAAGGTTAACCACATATCTCATATCTTATAGCAAATAAATTCCAAGTAGACTAAAGAGTTGAGTATAAAAAGTAACACCATAGGGGCTGGCCCCGTGGCCGAGTGGTTAAGTTCGCGCGCTCCGCTGCAGGCGGCCCAGTGTTTCGTTGGTTCGAATCCTGGGCGCGGACATGGCACTGCTCATCAAACCACGCTGAGGCAGCGTCCCACATACCACAACTAGAAGGACCTACAACGAAGAATATACAACTATGTACCAGAGGGGCTTTGGGGAGAAAAAGGAAAAAAATAAAATCTTTAAAAAAAAAAGTAACGCCATAGTCATGGCAAGTAAATATTTATTAGCTTTTGGGGTAAAGAAGAATTTGCTAAACATAAAAGCAGTGCAAGAAACAAACAAAAATTGATAGATTTGGCTCTATAACAGCTAGAAACTTCTATATGTCAGAAAGCACCTTTTACAAATGACAATTCACAAACTAAAGGAATTCTTCCAAAAATATCCAGAATATATAAAAAGGTCTTGGGAATCAATAGACAAACAGTATCTCCTCAAAAAGAAAGATTGGCAAAGAACGTGGGCAGACAGTCCTCTCCAGTCCAACAGGGTTCTAAGGCAAGAGAATGATCAGAACCCAGAGGGCAGAAGGGGAATAAGAAAGAGTGGGGAGGGTGATTTGCAGGCAGTGCTTACCTTTTAAGCTGGAGTTTAAAAGGAGCTAGAACTTTTACTTGGTTGGAAATTGTGGTGAGAATGTTCCTCCTGGTGGGAAGAGAAGTCAGAGTGATTAATAAGAGAGATGCAATAGGTTTGGGGCAGTCAGACCTGGGATCCAGCTTCTTGGGAATTCAGTGTCCTCATTTATAAAAATAGGCCTCGTAACAGTCCCCATTTTGCAAAAAGTAGATGCAGTGAAGAATGTGAAACACTGAAGCATGGTAGGTGCTCAATGAATGTCAGGACTTTGGAGCTTATTAGCTTTGGTGGGGTTCTGACTCTGAACTGGAATATGAGCTCCTTGAGGGCAGGGAGAGAGATTCTTCCTTATTTTCTTCCTCTTGAGCCCTGGCATTCAGACACTTTCAACTTCTGAACATGCATCTTGGGACCAGTGCATATAGATGATAGTCTTAATAATACGTGTAAATGTGGAGGCTCAGGTTTTGTGAGGTAAGAAGCAGCACACTGAAACAAGGCATACTGTTACTTACGTGATAGGCAAAGTTGGTTTGTGCTGATCTTGGATCTTAGAAGATAACTACCATAGGCGATACTGTCCCAGTGCGAAATGCAACCCTGTTCCAAACCAACTGAAAAGCAGCATTTTGACCCACCACTGTTCACTGGCTTAGCCCTCACACTGTAGTGGTTATCACAGTGCACACTAAGGAGTGACAGCAAGTCAGGGTGAATTCTTTCCCTGAGTGATCACTACCATACTCATAGGTCAGGGCCTTGTGGATCTAATTTTTGCATTTATACTTAAATAGTTTATCCTTTAAAAATAACTGAATTGCCCTGGCACAACCTCTGAAATTGGAGTCTGCCTAAGGGAAGTATTTTAACTCTGTGAATTTCCTTTCCAGAACGCTAGCTGACATGGCAGCCGCCACATCCGTCCACGTGGTTGCAGTAATTGAACCCATCATTCAGCATGCCGACTGGTTCTTCCCTGAAGGTGGTTATCTTTTCAGTTTCATTGACTGCCAACGCAACATGATAATAGTATAAAAACTCTTTTTAAAGAAGAAAATACATGAGTAATCCCTTTCGCTTTTTCATGGTTCTTTCCAGACTGTTTATTTGCATTCATATTTTGACATAACGGTAACCACATTATTTTGTATTTCACTTTGTTTCAATTAAAACAAGAGTCGTTCATTCAGCCAGTGTATACTGAATACCCAGTAGGTGCCGTATGTTTGCTGGCAAGACATGCAGTCTTCCCTGGAGGAATTCCGGCCACTGGAGAAGGAAGCCACATAAAAGGAGAAATTGTAATTCACAGCACATTAGAAAGATAGGTGGATGGAGAGCGATTTGACAAACTCACATATTGGGCACAAAGACCTAGGGATTGCTTTATAGAAGAGATGACATTGAATAGGCTGGAGTTTTCTGCTTGGAAGAAAGCTTTTTGTTTCCCTAGGCAGATAGTTGGATTTGTGCAAAGATGGAAGAGAAAGTAGAAAAGGTTGATGGGGGCCAGTTTGTGAAGGTCTGAGAATTAGGATTTCATCCTACAGGGGATGAGATTTTCACTATGTTGCGTCCTGGATCCTCAGAGGTTCCCACGCTCTCCTTTGGGAGAAGTGATCAGGCAAATGTGGGGCGTCTGGACCTCCTAGCCTTCCTTCACCCAGAGCAGCCCTGCTGTCACATCTTCTGGAGTGTAAGCTCCATGATGCCAGGGCGTGCTCCTGTTTACTTTGCCCTGGTCTTCCTGCCTTCAAGAATCACTCCTCCCTCAGGTAGGTTGCACAATGAATGTGTGACAGGTGAATGAATATTGGCATTCCGCCCCAGATTTCTTTTGAGAAAATGAGTCTTGCAAAAACTGCCGTAGGCAGTGTGGAGTTGATATGGCCTTTTATTTCTAATTTATATTAAACTGTAAATATTTCTCTTCTTTTATGATTCAAATAAGTAATCCTTGCTTCGTGTCATCTTCTGTATCCCATGATTTTTTTTCTTACAAAAAATAAAACAGAGGAGTTGTGTAACTTGTATTGTGAATCATATCCCCTCCCCTATTTCTAGCTCTCTTATTTCACCCCCCTGGTTTGATAAACCCTTCTTAAGGTGTGAGTGCATGGAGCTTCCACTTGTGAATAGCAAGGACTTGTGGACTGAAGAGTGAGGTTCCTATTCCATTGGGGTGTTTTAAAGCCCCTCTCAACTCCTGTGCTCTATGTCTCATTTACACTTCTTTGTTTTTCTTCTCGTAGAGGTGGAGTTTAACGTATCAGAAGCATTTGTACCTCTTGCCACCCCAAATTCCAATCACTCGTCCCACACTGGAAATGACTCTGACTCGGGGACCCTAGAGAGGAAGCGACCTGCCAGCATGGCGGTGATGGAAGGGGACTTGGTGAAGAAGGAGAGGTATGTTTAGAATTGTTCACTTTCAAACTGGCCGTAGATGTCACGTAGAAGAATTGTTAAACCCTTGGTATCTGGTACTGCCTCAATGGACTTATAATATCAGAGTGATCCACCATGTACCATGACTATTAGAGTCCAGAGAGTTTCAGGAATACTGCTCTAGTTCATTCCAAGCATTAATCTGACCATAAAGTAGATACGTAGCTTGTCAGTTAACATTTGTACCGTATGCGTCCAAGCTTTACTTGGTGGTCTGAGATAAGCCCTACACAGTGGCATCACACATGTTACAAATTCACCTAAATGTACTTGATTGGGGGAAAAAGAGAAGAAGGAAGAAAAAGTTAAAAATTGTGGACATACGTCTAGGAGTGAATGTGAGAACAATCTCTCTCTCACAGTTAGTTGTGTGATTTGGTGTTTAAAGAGAAATATTTCTGGTATAACTTGGCCTCTCAATGGAAGCCAACTGCTGAATCTGATGTTCAGCTAGAGAAACCTCAGAATGTGCCAATTCCAGAAGGAAAGAAATGGCTGTGCTGGACTTAGTGAGAGACAGTATGTCTCTAAACTAGGCTCCATGGGCGATTTGTGGGATTTTCAAAGGTTATTAAGGCTGTTTGTGATTTTTGCCTTCAGATGCCAATCTGTCCAACATGTGTGATGAAATGCCACTGTGTTCATCAGTAATGCTGAGAGTTAGAGAGGCCTGTTTGAAGTAATGTGCTTTTCTTGCATACATGTTATAATATTACTGGAAATAGTTTTACATTCAAACTAAACAACAGCTGTTATTTTAATTGCCCAATCTTATAATGAGCTTTGTTTTTTTGTTTTGCTTTTTTTTGTAAAAAGCTTTACTTTCCTGTTCTTTTATTCTGGAATCCACGTTTATGTACAGAAGTTTTACTTCTCTGAAGCCCCGTTCATACATTCGGTAGTGCTTCCTGATGGCAAACTCTGTCCTCCGCAAAATTAGCCTTCGTATATTTTAAGTCAGAAAATGCAATGTTGTGGGTCAAGTTAGCACACAATAAACAATTCTCAGTTATCTGTCTGGGTGGATTCTCCCCGCCAGCTGACCCAGTAAACCCAAGCTCGGGGAGCCATGTATCTCTCTATTTTTTTAAACTGAAAAAAAGTTTTAAGGTTTATATACCAGTGAGTTTAAATGAAAAGTAGGTCTTCCTTCTACCTATCGCCCAACCACCATCCCCTTCTCAAAAGCAATAATTTTCCAGTCTTACGTATCCTTTCAGATATGTTCTTTGCAGACACACGTACAGATATTTCTACATCTCAGCTTACGAGGCAGTGTGCTGTGACAGCCTTACCTTGCGCTGGGAGGACTTCTGCACACAGCTTCCACATTGTTCCCCAAACACACAGATTTGGGATGATGGGCTTGTATGTAGTAGTATGGAAATAAACACACTAAAACGATGTCATTCACTCAAGATGAGAGGCCTGCCTATTTGCTTTCAACTGCTCACACCCACATTGAGAAAGGACATTGATCAGTACCAGGTCTGTTGGCTCTCTCAGGTTTAAAGCCAAATTGAGTTGCTTGCCTTGGTAATAGGAATGACCATTAATCATTGGTCATTAATCATTAATTGCTGCTGCGTTGCATACTGGGCAACTTGGGTGGCTATCCCCATGTGTGGGTTTTAACACACGTGGAGCAGTGGGCTTCTGTGTCGGTGGTCAGCTTGCATGGTGTGTTGACTGTTTCTTCTCTCTGTGTAGCTTTGGTGTGAAGCTTATGGACTTCCAGGCCCACCGGCGGGGTGGCACTCTAAATAGAAAGCACATATCTCCCGCTTTCCAGCCACCACTTCCGCCCACAGATGGCAGCACTTTGGCTCCAGCAGGCCCAGAGCCCCTTCCCCAGAGCTCTAGGGCTGAAAGCAGCTCAGGGGGTGGGACTGTCCCCTCCTCTGCGGGCATACTGGAGCAGGGGCCAAGCCCGGGCGACAGCAGGTAAGGAGGCCAGCTTGTGCTGGCAGGAATGCTGGGCACCCCAGCCTTCTTCAGGTGCTGGCCTGTGGGCATCCATGCCCACAGAATCACTTGGCATATTTTGAACCAGATTTGCCTTCACTCCTCTCGTTGGCAAAGGATGGGAAAAAAGACTGCATATTGCTCGCTTCTTTTCCTGTTTTCAAGAGAAAGCAACATTTGCTTGCATTCTGTACTGTACTGCTTTGGTGCTGGAAACTGGAAGCCAGTAGGTGTCTAGCAGTATTACAAACCTCTTTACCTGTGTGATGTGTACTCAGTGTTCATGTACCATTTGCTCGTTGTCATCTAGTATGCTAACTCGTAAACATTTGAATGTAGCAAGTTAGTTAGATTATAGTATTCCTGGCATTCACTCATTCACTCACTTACTCACTCACTCACTCACTCACTCACTCACTCACTCACTCACCCATTCACCCAGCCAGCCAGCCAGCCCATCCGTCTATCCATCCATCCGTCAAATAAGATTTTCTGAGTAACTGTTAAGTGCCAGACGCTGCACTAAGCACACTAGGTGACTGAGGTCCCCTCACCCCCAGCTTTCAGTCTTGTAGGGGAGTTGATACACGAGTACAAGGTAGAAAATATGATGATAGCTTTTCTTAAAAGCCTCTTTTGTTGCTTAACCTTTTGATTAGCCACCTGTAATGGGCTGCAAATATATAGAAACTTTAAGAAAAAGCACCTTTAAACTTGAGATTTTCATTTAATTGGCGTGAATTTTTATTTAATTTGCACTGACCCAGGCAGCTGGTTCAGAACTGACAGCTGATGTAAAAGGTGAGCCCCTCTACAGAGTATATGCTAAAATTTTTATTATCATTTATTCTACTTTGACCACCTATGAAGCACTAAATGGTCATATATAGAGTAAAATAAATGCGTAAAACAAAGACAGCCAGTGTATCCATGCATCTTTTTCCGCGCAGAGAGATGAATTTGCCTTGGGAGAACTCCCTCACTTCATCTCCTTTGGGATGGGGAGGGAATACCTTGTGGTGTATGAAGCTAGCTACTTATGTGATAAGAATCTTGTTAAATCCTCATAGCTGAATTCTGAATGTTTTGTCATTCCTGAATTCCTTTTTACTCACATAATTTGGGGAAGTTCAATTTTTAGTTAAAAAGAACTGAGGCTTCAAACTTCCTAGAGCTTCATATGCTGATCATAAGCTCCAATGTTGGCTTGTCAGTAACTACTGCTCCATGCACGTATTTGTTTGGGTTTAAATTTTTTTGATTGCGGAAAAAAAGTATTAGCAAACTCACATTTTCATTTACCTGTAGCATTCAACTTGTTTAATTAAGCCTAAATATATTATTTAAGACAATAATTAGTCATCACTGCAGAAGGACAGATGGAATGTCAGTCATCGATTTGGTCTTTGTTTCATTCTGTAGATATTTTTGTGAACATTTCACTAATGATGTTCACTCTTTAATTACCTTGACAAAATGTCACTGTAAAGTTTGTTAGAAAAAGTTCAGAGCTAGGAAGTAGAAAGCCTGAGTTTGATCTCTACTCTCCTGCTAACCACTCGGGACTTTGAGCAATCACTTAGCTTCTCAGAGTTTCTCTTTCCTCAGGTCCACATTATTGATAATAGTCGACTACTTTATAATTTACAGTATTAGTATTTGGCCCTAGCTTTTGCTTAGTTTTTTACAATGTCTGTGTCCAAATCACATTATTTTGAAGCCCAAAAACCCTTTCGCGTTTTTTAATATTTCCCAATTTAAGTACAAGCAAATTAGAACTTGAAATTTCTTGTTGGTTGCTGCAAAATGGTCTCGCTCATGATATTTGAGTGGCAGAGTAGGTGGAAGACAGTCTGATGCAACGAACCTCAAAATATGTAGTCTCGTGTGTCACCCAATAAATGTGTGAACAATTTGAAATTTCAGATCAACTTCTTGCCTGCTGAGGTGAAAATTCTGGTTGGCATCTTATATTTTACAGCATGCTCAGCTTTTCTAGCTGGGAATGCCTAACGTCTAACTTGGCTTCTTCTCCCCTTAGTCCTCCAAAACCCAAGGACTCTGCAGTTGCAGCTGCACCTGCACCGGGAAAAAACAGCAGTCAAACGGCCACTGGCCAGAATCAGGCCCAGACAGCGACTGGCTCCCATCAGCTCTCTGTGGGCCCAGCACACAATTCTGCTGGCCCCAGTCCCCACACTGTGCGTCGAGGTGAGTAGCCCCCTTCACTGCGTCCCCTTGGGAAGGATGTGCACACCTCCTCGGGTTAGTGCAGGGGTTCAGGTGGCGAGCCTTTCCAGCAGATTGTTTCCATGGCTGTTATAAAATATCAAGTAGAAAAATCAGTCATTGAAGAGAAAAATCATCGACGAGAAATGAAAAAATGGAGAGCAGGAAAGCAGACATTTAAGAAAACGTGTAAGCTATAAAGCTTAACAAACAAAAAGTCATTTCTCCAGAAACACTCCCAGTTTTCCAGGAATCTGGTGTTCCAAGCCCCCACTCTCTTTTGGAACTGTCACAGCCTCTGTACTAGCTAGGCTTTGCAGGTCTGCGAGCCATTGTACCCTCTGGCTTGGGGTCAGGGTCTTCTGGATCCTAATTAACGTATAATCCGAACTGTTACCATCCATGCCCCCTGTGGTCCGCCACACAGCAGCCAGAGGAATTGCTTTAAAACACAAAGCAGATCATGCCATTTCTTGGTTGAAACTCTCCAGTGGCTTCCGTGCAAACCTCCTACCGTGGGCCCTGCCTGGGCCTACCTCTGAGCCCACCCCTTACACTCTCCCACTCTCACCGCATGTCAGCCGTGCTGCTGTGCTCTCTGTTCCCTGATGCACTAAACTCATTACCTCTTTAGAGCTTCCACACTTGTTTTCTCTTCTAGAACATTCTGACCCATATCTTCATGATGTTCTTTCTTCTTTTTTTAAATTTTATTTTATTGTGGTCAGTGTGCTTAACATGAGGTCTACACTCTCAAATTTTTAAGTGTGCTATTAAGTATACAATACAATATTGTACTCTAGGCACAATGTTCTACAGCAGATCTGTAGAACTTATTTTTCGTGCATAATTGAGACTTTATGCCTATTGATTAGCAGCTCTCCATTACCCTTCTTCCTAATACTCCATTCCCCTCATTACTCCTTCCAGGGAGTGCAACTACCATTCCACTCTGATTCTGCGACTTTGACTAGTTTAGATACCTCATGGAAGTGGAATCGTGCAGTATTTGTCCTTCTGTGGCTGACTTATTTCCCTTAGCATAATGTCCTTATGTTTTATCCATGTTGTCATATATGGCAGAATTTCCTTCTTTTTTTAAAGCTGAATAGTATTCCATTGTATGAATATACCATTTTTTTCTTTATCCAATCATCGTCAGTGGACATTTAGGTTGTTTGTACATTTTGCTTATTGTAAATAATGCCTCAATGAACATGGAAGTGCAAATATCTCTTCAAGATCCTAATTTCAATTCTTTTGAGTAAATACCCAGAAGTGGGATCACTGGATTATATGATAGTTCTATTTTTAATTTTCTGATGAACCTCCATATTATTTTCCACAGTGGCTGTACCAATTACATTCCCGCCAAAAGCACACAAGGGTTCCAATTTCTCCACATCCTTGCCAACACTTATCTTTTGTTTTTTGTTTTTGTTTTGAAGAAGATTAGCCCTGTGCTAACATCTGCCTCCAATCCTCATTTTGCTGAGGAAGATTGGCCCAGAGCTAACATCCGTGCCCATCTTCCTCTACTTTATATTTGGGATGCCTGCCACAGTGTAGCTTGATAAGCGGTGCATAGGTCCACACTCGGGATCTGGGCCGGCAAACCCCAGGCCGCCGAAGCGGAGCATGCGAACTTAACCGCTACACCACCAAGCCAGCCCCATCTTTTGTTTTTTTTGATGATAACCGTTCTAACAGGTGTGAGATGCTATCTCATTATGATTTTGATTTGCATTTTCCTGATGGTTAATGATGTTGAGCATCTTTTCACGTGCCTGTTGGTCACTTGTACATCTTCTTTGGATAAATGTCTGTTCAAGACTTTAGCCTATTTTAAAATTGCGTTAATTTTTTTGCTATTGAGTTGTAGGTGTTCCTTGTATATTTTGAAAATTAACCCCTTATGGTGAACATACTGATTGAAATCTTATATTTTATAGCACGCTCAGCTTTTCTAGCTGGGAATGCCTGACATCTAACTTGACTTCTGCTCCCCTTAGTCCTCCAAAACCCAAGGACTCTGTAGCTGCAGCTGCACTGGAGAGAAATAGCAGTCAGATGGCCACTATTACAAATATTTTCTCCCATTCTGTAGGGTGCCTTTTCCTTTTGTTGACTGTTTGCTTTGCTGTGCAGATGCTTTATGGTTTGGTGTAATCTCACTATTTTTCCTTTGGTTGCCTGTGCTTTTGGTGTCACAGCCATGAAATCATTGCCAACGCCAACATCATGAAGCTTTCTCCTTGTGTTTTCTTCAGAGTTTTACAGTTTCAGGTCTTACATTTAAGTCTTTAATCCATTTTGAATTGACTTTCGTGTGTGGTGTAAGATAAGACCCCGCTTTATCCTCCCAAAGGCTGTCCTCTCCTTTGAGCCACCATCATCTACATGTGGATCCCAACTGATCCTTGGGGGAAATAAGGTCTTCTCTACCTGGATTCCAGGTATAACGTTGCTTTTTTTTTTTTTTTTTTTAAGATTTTATTTTTCCTTTTTCTTCCCAAAGCACCCCAGTACATAGTTGTATATTTTTAGTTGTGGGTCCTTCTAGTTGTGGCATGTGGGACGCCACCTCAGCATGGCCTGATGAGCAGTGCCATGTCCGCGCCCGGGATCTGAACCAGCAAAACCCTGGCCCGCTGAAGCAGAGGGCGCAAACTTACCCACTCGGCCACCGGGCCGGCCCCTGTAACGCTGCTTTCAGATTGAGACTCCTTCCTAGCCACATAGGAGTCTTTCCTGCTTCCTGCAGTCACAGATCTCCGGCTTCCTCACAGGAGGAGTTTGATCCTTTCTGCCCCTGCCTCAGCCTCCCAGCACCTTCATAGGTGGTCTTAGACAAGGGCTGCCTTTCGCCCAGCCTGGCTTCCATGTGGGACTCCCATCGCCTGTCACACTGCTCATGCTTCCTCTCCTGATTCCCTCCACACCCGTAAATGTCAGGAATGATCTTTTATTCAATATGAATTTACAATTAATATTGCTAGAATGGAAAGCTAGAAAATTTTCTTTTTTAAGTTGCTTATGGTAACCAGAGTATGGCTAATATTCCAGATTCCTTCCTTTGTCAGCTAGTTGGTTGTTTCTGTCGAAAAAGTTCTTCTGAGTTCCAGGGCCAAAAGTTCTAGGCCAGCAGAGCAGAGCAGACTTTATACCCTTTTCATTCCTGAATTCTGAGCACTATGAGCAGGGAGCCAGGCAGTGTAGGAAGGAGGAAGAGGGAAAAAAGAGTCCAGGGAATCCACAGGACATGGTGTGAACCTCTGTTTTGCCACTTACCAGTTTTGTGACCTTTTGCAGACGCTTGACCTTTCTAAGCCTCAGTTCTCTCCACCTTGAAATGGATATAACAATGCCTGTCTTGCAGTGAGCTCATGAGACTTACATGAGACAGTTTATCTAAAAGGCCTAACTTGGTGCTGGTGGTGTGTTAGGCAAACGATACCTGTTTGTTTCTGTCCTTCATTTCCCTCTCCCTTGCTCTGGGGATTAGTAGGATCTCAGCAGAATTTGAAAAATGCCAAAGTCTCTTCTTTCCACCCCTCCTCCCAGCCCCAAACCAGTCTCCAGACCTGTCATTTTTCCCTCCTACCTTACCCTCCTCAGTTACCAAATTCCCACCCCCTAGTGATCTAATTTCAGCTGGTGGAGGGAGGAGAGAGCTGTGGCTCACCTCTCCTTAGGGAGATCATTCTAAGGCACTCTTCCAGATTTATGTGTACTTTTACCTAGGATGTATCTATTAGCTCAAATGATTCTGAAACTGGTAGAACTTCTGTTAAAAAAAAAAGTCAAGCCTTCTAGGAGAAGCTGGCTTAGGGCCAGGGAGCCATGTTACGTACAAGCAGGCGGGTTGTGCTTAGGGGTCGCCTCTTAGCTGCCCTTGCTTCTCTCTGTTTCTTCCCACACTCTCTGAGGGATGAGCGCTGCTGTGTGGACTTACACGAGCAACTCCGTGTTGGTGGGGTGGCCTCCATGAGCTCAGCTTTCTTCTTATTGAGCTTTTAAAATGACAGGTCTTTAAGGACCTATATGTGTATAATGTAGTTTTTTAAAATAAACTTTTTATTGTGAATAATTTTAGATTTACAGAAAAGTTGCGAAGATCGGGCCGAGAGTTCCCCTAGGCCCTTCACTCACTTTCCTCTATCGTGAACATCCTACATCACCCTGGGACATTTATCACAGCTAAGAAACCAACACTCGTACATTACTATTAACTAAACCCCATCTTTTGTTCAAATTTCACCAGTTTTTCCACCAGTGACCATTTCCTGTTCCAGGCTCACTCCCATCCAGGAGACCACACTGCATTTAGTCCTTGCGTCCCCTTAGTCTCCGCTGGGCTGACAGTTTCTCAGTCTTCCCGTGTTTTATTATGGCTTTGACAGTTTTGGGGAGTACTAGTCAGGCATTGTAAAGAAAGTCCCTCAATTTACGCTTGTTGGATGTTTTTCTCATGGTTAGACTGGGTCTGTGGGTTTTGGGGAGGAAGACCACAGAGGTGAAGTGCCCTCTTCGTTGCCTCCTCTCAGGGGTACATACTATCAGCGCAGCTTATTACGGGCAAGATTAGCCTTGGTCCCTGGTTCAGGTGGTAGCTATCACTGTGCTGCTCTTGCTGAAAGATGTTTTTTCCCTTTTGTGCAGCTGTTAAAAAACCTGCTCCAGCACCCCCGAAGCCAGGAAACCCACCTCCTGGCCATCCTGGGGGCCAGAGTTCTCCAGGAACATCTCAGCATCCCCCTAGTCCGTCAGCAAAGCAATCCACCCGAAGTCCTTCTCCGCCCCCTCAGCACCCAGGCCAGGCTCCAGGCCAGCCCTGCGCCACCTCGCAGCTCTCTGCACCCCGGAGGTACTCCAGCAGCCTGTCTCCAATACAAGCTCCCAGTCACCCGCCACCACAGCCCCCGACGCAGGCCGCACTGCTGGTGCACTCCAAACCAAGTGGCCAGGGCCCAGCCACCCCCATGGCACTGCCCAGCGAACATGGACTTGAGCAGCCATCTCACACCCCTCCCCAGACTCCAACACCCCCCAGTACTCCACCCTTAGGAAAACAGAACCCCGGCCTGCCAGCTTCTCAGACGCAGGCGGTGAGTAACCCTGAGACTGTGCAGCTACACGCTGGAACCTTACCAAGACCGAGACCAGTACCAAAGCCGAGGAACCGACCCAGCGTGCCCCCACCCCCTCATCCTCCTGGCACTCCTCATCCTCCTGGCACCCAGTCAGCTGGGGATGGCAGCCTCACCAATGCAGCTCCCACTGCTTCCAAAATAGTGACGGGTAAGTAGGGAACCAGTTCAGATATTTCCCCTTTCCATTCTGCATTGCTTTTGTACTACTCCCCTTCATTTAGGCTTTGATTTATAACAGGGGTCAGCAAACTACAACCGCAAGCCAAATCTGGCCCCCAGCTTGTTTTTATAAATAAAGTTTTATTGGAACACAGCCATGCCCATTTGTTTACATATGGTCTTTGGCTGCTTTTGTGCTAAAACAGCAGAATTGTGTAGTTGATTCAGAGGTCATATGACTCACAGAGCCTAAGATATTTACTACCTGGCCCTTGAAGTTTGCCAACCCCTGATTTATAGTTTCATTATGTGTTGAAGACCTGCACATCTACGTTTACATTTTTCTGAGTATAATGAGCTAATCGGGTGGGAGGTACAACATGAATATGAAATTTCTTAGTGAATTTTCTTAGTGAGATTTCTTAGTAAATTCTTCATTAAAATACTTAAGAGTAAAAATGTTCATAGTAAATGAAGCATTAGATATAACTTTAAAAAATATGATTTGTGCCAAATTGGATGCTCCCGGGAGATCTGGGGGCATGATCACATCAGAGTGCCAGCCTCCAGTAGTGAAAGAGGGAAGACTGAAGATTTCCCCATAATTCCCATGGAGACCTGTTTTGGGTGGCAGTGATTGTACAGATTTTAGTGGGCTATACCAAATGGGATATTCTAATATAGGCAGTCTAGAGCATGATCTTTTTATTTAACTATGACTTTTAAAAAAATTTCCATCCCAAGTGCTCTAATTTACTATTTGATTTAAGAAAGGGATGGATGGATTTTTTTTTTTTAGTGCGTTTTTAAACACGGTAATTAGGAGCCTTGCATCATTTCTCACAACAGCCCAATTTTGAATTTTTCTAAGTGGAGCTATTTTTAGAGAGGAAGCTGAAATATACCTCTGGGCTCTCCAACCGTGCTGAATGACTTCACAGCTGAAAATGAGCCAAGGTATACCCTAAACTGGCATCCCAAAGGAGGAGGGTTAACCAACTAGTCTAACTTCCAATAACTTTTTTTTCAGGAATAAAATGTGTAATTTGCACATGTTATAAATGGTTAATAACTTTTTCTGATGACACCTCAGCTTTTATTTTTAAAAAACAAAACGACATTGGTGTGTTTGTTTGTTTCCCAATAGATGCCCTCCCTAGTGCCCTCACAGGTGGGGAAGGTTTCCAGGACTAAGGTCTGTAACCCCCAAGCAGCTTGCCCCACAGCTCCAAATGCTCCTGCTTAGCCGTGTTGTGCATATGTGCTTTTGACTTTGTGCTCCGGAGCAGCCATTTGACCCCATGCCAGCCGTTCCGTAGCATGTAGACTTTACTTTTGTGTTTATCAGAAGCATTTTGAGCTGCAATGCTCCAAATTCAAGACGTAGGTGTCAGGAGATTGAGAGCCCGATTTCAAGCCGCTCAGATAAGATAGTAAGAATGTTTTCTCTCTTATTGGTAAGTCTTTCACAAGTGTTCTGCTCTTCTCAGTGTGATTTACCTGTCATTGATTGGCTCATCAGCATCCAACCAAGGAGGACTCGGGTGCAGTTAGCACAGAAAATTGTTTCCCTTGTGTCTTGAGCTTTAATTTTTAATTTTATATCTTAAGTGCAAGTTAACTGCATGGAGCTTCTTAATTCAATGTTTGAAATTCTCAGGACCAAAAGAAAAATCTTCCTCCAAAGATTCCCACACTAAATTCCTTTGCATTCTAGCATGCTTACATTTTGCTTTCTTAAACCACAGGAGTTTTTTAAAAGGCACCGTGAGGCTCATCTGGACCATGCCTTCAGGTCCACATTTGGATGGCATAAAGCTCTCATTATGTGTACAATTGCTTTCATCGGCAGATTTGAGCCTTAAGCCTTTAGTGGGCCCCACAGCTCTGGTGTGAGTAAGACTTTCTGTAGGAACCAGAAAGGGGAACAAGAGTGCAACCTTTAAAATGTAGAGGAGGACGCAGGAGTCATTCCACCTTCCCATCTCCTTGGTGATTGACCCAGAAGTCTGGGGCTCCCCAGTTGAGTGCGGAAGTCATTTACAGAGTGAAGCGGCTAAACCCTAAGTAAGGCTGAGCCTTTTAACACTTCAATTCTTGTGACACACCACAGTTTTTTCCCCAGATCTTTTCTTCCATTTAGATCTTTTCTTCTACAAACCAGAATTTGGTGTGTTCTTTAATACCATTGTTACCTGGGGTGTTTTTATTCCAGAAGGTTATTTTACGACCTCCTACAACACTGTAATTCACACTGTAATACTCTGTACTTTATAATTATCAGATAAGTGAAATTTTATATTAAAGATACTTTTCCTGAAGATATTAGCTAAATGTTTAAAAACCTATCTATGCTATAAATTCTCCTAACTCAAGAAATTCCAGGTCACCACGATTATCTTTGTATTATAATTTCTTAAAATCCCCTGGACTGCCATTAAAAGCACACAAAAGGCCAACATTTAGAATTTATGAATCCGCTAGGGTTGATCATGCTGCTATTAGCCATTCTTGGATATAGCCATTGGGTATTTCCAGAAGAAAAAGTGAAACTGCCTTGGACAGGCAATTCTTTATTATGGCATCATGTTTTCACTTGGAAAACTTTAGACAGACAACTTCCTGATAACAGGTTATTCATTTAGAGCATTTAATCTTAAAAAGTTGAATTAAAGCCTGGGGTTTAAATAAGCTCTTGGGGGAGATTATTGCTGCCAAGCAGGTTTGGCAGGAACCTTTGGCAGCTCAGCACCAGCCCTGGAGAGTGGAGGGATGCTGGAGTCGTTATGGAGTCTCTTCTTGTTGTTACTATAGAAAGCAGTAGGATTTTAGCTTTGCAAGTAAAAGAGTTTTTACATCTTGCTGTTTTTAAAGTAATAGATTTTAGCAAAGAGTGTTCTAATTTAAACATTTTATTAAATAATTTAGATGTATGACCTGCCATATTCAGTAAGAACTGAAATTGGAATATTTAATGGTAAGGAAAAAGGCACCTGATTGGCCAAAGCATTTTTGCTACTTTATGATCATATTTGTGGACTAATGCCTGTTACTAACCAGTCACTCTAACCACGCCTGCTTGCATCCCTACTAATAGTGCATGCACTAAAGGAGGCTGGCTTCCTTCATGCTTGCTGTCAATTACTCTGAGTACTAAGTGTGTTCACAGATGTGCGACAGGTGGTCATGGGGCTGGTCTTGTTGCTTCTTTAATTTCCATTTTTTTCTATACCAGGCAGGCTTGAGGTATAGTAGAAAGAATATACGTTATAGAGTTGGACATGCCTGAATTCAAATTTCAGCTCTCTGTGTAACATCAGGCAAGGTACAACCTGGTTGATCTGTAAATCTGATGTCTGTGAGAATTATTGTCGAAGAGATTACATCAGATAAATAACAGCATCTAACAGTTCTTAATATACAGTGGACCTAAATAAATAGTAGCTATTTATTATCATTTTTATCTAGAAAAAAATAGGTAATCAGAGTTATGGATTAGATTCATAGGTTAACATTTTTAAAACTCATATGCCCAGACCCAGCCTTCTAGGACCCAGATGCAGGAGGTCTGGGGCCCAGGCAACCATATTTTGATTCTGATGCACCACTTGGTTTTCCTAATATGGGTTCTTTCACGGTTTAAAAAGACAGTGCTCAGGAGTGGAAGATAATTTCTTAATTTAGTGAGCCTGAGAATACCCATGAGTCATTCGTGCACTGTGTGCTGGTGTACCAAGTCAGTCTCTTAGCAGTCAACAAAAACTCAACACTTTGCTGGTTCTCATGGTGTTCTTTTTAAAAATTAGACTGTTTTTATATCATGAAAGGAATGCATTTAAAAAAATAATCATGGATATTAATGAAAATTTTGGAACTAAAAGTAAGAAGTCCCCTTCTACAGTTGAAGAAGTCTACCATTCATATTCTATTTTTTTCCTCTTTTTATTCTGAAAGACAAAGGGGTACATGATCATAATTATTTTGCATATGCAGATTTTGACCTTGCATTTTTATTTTACTTTACATCATATGCTCTTTCCCATGTTATAATGTAGTTTTTATAACCATCTTTTTCAATGACTGCATAATATTTCATTATTGCTCATAGTTAGACATTTAAGTGCCTTTTGCTTCTACTTGCAGTTTATTTTTAGTAGATATCAGAATCATGTCATTATACACATCCACTGAGACTTGAACAGAATCTCTCCTTTGACTAAAATAATAAAAAGTTGGCTCAAAGTCTTTTATAGACTAGAAAGACTCTCACAGCCCTAGAAAACTGATGAGGCGTAACAGGAAGTCATTCTAGTTTAAAGAGGGATGAATGGTGAGCAGAGGGTTGTTGGTTCACCCTGCAGTTGTGCCTGAAGTGTTTAATTTCAAGGATGTATTTGGATCCGTTACTCACCAAAGTGACTGTCAGAACAACTTGGGACTTTTTGAGGGGCAGGTTTATAACCCAAAGCGCATATTCAAAATTGTTGACGTGACAAATAAACCTTCTAGCACCATACCCTAAATTATAGAATGCAGTTCTGGCCCTTGGAGGGCCCACTTCCTGGATCACAAAACTCAAAAAAGGAAGGAACCTGGTTACATTTGTCTGAGCCCCAGATCAGTGGTGAAGTGCATCACGTTCTGCCTGTGAGCTGAGGCTGCGTGCAGCGCCTCTCTCTCTGGTTTTTGTTTTTGTTTGTTTGTTTTGGGTAAGGAAGACCAGCCCTAAGCTGACCTCTGTTGCCAGTCTTCCTCTTTTTTCTTGAGGAAGATGGTCCCTGAGCTAACATCTGTAGCAGTCTTCCTCCACTTTGTATATAGGATGCTACCACAGCATGGCTGAGCAGTGCATAGGTCCGCACCCAGGATCTGAACCTGCGAACCCTGGGTCACTGAAGTGGAGCAAACCCAACCACTACACCACTGGGCCAGCCCTCGGGGTTTTTGTTTTTTTGTTTTTTTTTAAATAAAATATCTGTCCTACAAACTTTACTCCAAGCGGTATGCTCAAAGACCAACCCTTCTTGGAATGCATATAATGAAAAGGAATGCCTCATGTAAATTCATAGCCAGAAAGTTTTAGAAGTGTTTAAAAAAAATAAAGAAGGTTCCTACAGGTTTCTTTCGAAAATAACCCTTTTTTCCTTTTTACTAAAATGAACCTGAGTGTCTAAGACTCACCCCATCAGCTCCTCAGATACTGTCTTCTCTCTCAGGACCCTCACCCAAGGGCATATAGACTCCTTTGGGAAGGAGGAAAAGCATTCTGCTGAGTAAGAACCAGATGCCAGAGTCTCGCCCGCCTGGCTTTGATCCTCTGTGAGGAGTTGTGCCTCTCAGTCTCCCTTTCTTCTCTCAACAGCAGCACTCATGCTGCCTTAAGGTTGTTTCACGGGGTTCAGCGATCTGATGCAATGACCTGTGTGGTGCACTTAGCACCATATCTGGTAGATAGTAGCTGCTCAATAATGTCAGCTGTTCTGATGAAGATTAGTCTATTTCTGGAAGCTGGTTCTCCACCCATGCTGTGATCCAGTAAGGTTTTTTGTGTGGAAACAGATTTGCTGTTTTCTTTCAAGAAATGGTTCATGTGAGAATGAGAGAGAAGCTGGGGAAAGAAATGTACCTGCCAACCTCAGGCAAACCAGACAGTGGCGGCAGAGTAAAGGAACTTCCCTTGTGCTGCCACCACACATTTTTCCCCTGAGTATATAAGTATGTTCATCATAAATAGTTACGGAAATTCAGAAAAATACAAATCCAGAAATTATTTGTATGCGATATAAAAAGAAGATTGCAAATTTGTCCTCTGAAAAGAGTCTGTGCTGATAGGTGTTAGCTTGCATGTAAATCCAGGTATTAACAGGTAGAATCTAATTAGTATGTACAACACCTTTGCATCGTGCATCCCCCAGCAGGCATGTCTGTTCCGTAGTTCCTTGTAAACTCTTTGGGCCAAGAAGAGACACTGGCTGGTCACACCATCTGTCTTATTGGGTTAGGATAATGGTAAAGGGATTGAATTTGCAATGGATTTCTTGTACCAGTGTTGCCTTTGAGATGCGGCTACTTCTTTACCTGAGGCTGTAGGAGGGGAGGATTGAAAAGATGATTGACTCTTCTGTCAGTCTATCTGTCCATCCAGCCATCCAGCCAGCCAGCCAACCAACCAGCTATAAAATTTATTGAGCAACTGCTATTAGCCAATCACTGTTGTAGGCATTGAGGACACACTGTGAACAAGACAGATATGGCCCCTGTCCTCATTGACTTCCATTCTGATGAGGACAAATCTGAGATGTCTTCTATTCTGTGCACACAGATCACCCTCAACTGCGCCATTGGATGGTGCAATTCAGCATAATTCAGTCATAAGACTTGAATTGCCTGAAATGGAATTCAGCATCTGAACTCTTGGACACCTTGGCACCTCCATAAATCTAGAAATTTCTCTGACTTGTGGTGCATAGGAAACCTTGAGGGACCGGTCTGCCAACCCAGCAGTCATTGAGAGAAAAGCGATGCCCCAGGAAGTACAGCTCAGAACTGTAGGGACGTGTGGGGCCAGGAAGTGGTCTCAAAGCAGTGAGCCTCCCAGAAGTGCACCTGCATTTGCCACCTCTGCCTGTGTGGATGAGGAGCAGGCAAAACAGAAGTACTGTCAAAAGCAGCTCCCAGCAAAGGCAGACGTGGTGTAACTCTGTACCACAACAAGTACACCTCCACCTCCCGCTCTGGCTCCTCCCTGCTCCCTACCAGGCCCAGCTCTAACCTGGCAAAGTGAAACTGCTACAGATCTGAACGTCTCCCTTCTCTCTTGCACCAGCCCTAGAATATCTAACAAGGCTCTCATCATTTGTTAGAACCCACATCTACTTAGAGGAACAAATTCTTCCATCTTAATTAGGGGCTGTCTCCTCCTCTTGACTGTAGGCTTCATTAAAGCTGGGTCTGTCTTGTTCACTATCGTGTCCTCACAGGTGGAACAGTGCCTGGCATGGGGCAGGTGCTCAGCAAGTATTTGTTCATGAATGAGTGAATCTGAAACTCACCATCCTAGGAAGAGGGCTGAGATTGGTGAAGGTGTCTTTTTGTGAACTTAGGAATGAGGGACAATGACTTGAGGAACATGTATTTGCCATCTTGCTAAAGGAATTCCAGCCAACAGAGTAAGACATGAAAAAGGAAATTGGAGGCATGAATATTAGAAAGAGAAGAGAAAATTAATATTTGCAGGAGATTTGGTGGTCTACCTCAGTGATTGTCAACCAGGGGTGACAGCGCCCCCCCAGGGGACATTTGGCAATGTCTGGAGGCATCTTTGGTTGTCACACTTGGGGAGAGAGGGCATGTGCCAGGACACCTAGTAGATAGAGGGCAGGGATGCTGCTAAACATCCTACAGTGCACAGGACAGCCCCCACAACCCAGAGTGACCTGGCCTCCAGTGTCCTTAGCCGAGGTTGAGGGCATAGCATTAATAATGGCAGGAAAACTCATCAGCCTCAGAGGAGGGAGCTCTTTCCAGTGAAGCTCATCTAGTCCTGCAGCCCAGATGTTGTCAGGAGGTTTCAATTAGTGCATGAGAGGGATTGGTAAGAAAGAGATCTCCTTTCCTCAATCAGAGCAAGGAAATCCTTTGAAGCTTGTATCTCCGAGGACTGCCATGGGTTCGCAGAAAGGAGCACCAGAGCCAGGAGGTAGGGCTGTGCCACGTGGCTGCCCTCGGGTCTCAAAGGCTTGACTCAACTTCTAAGGGCTGACGGTGCCTCTAGTAAGGGAATGTGTGTGCGCATGGGCTGACCCTTAAACTTTCTAGCTTCTCTTCTTCTCAGAGTGCCCTCAGGTGGCCTCTTGGGTATTACCAGGCATTGACACCATGTCTCCTCCTGTTTTTGTCCAGACACCAACTCTAGGGTTTCAGAACCGCTTCGCAGCATCTTTCCTGAAATGCATTCAGACTCCGCAAGCAAAGACCTACCCGGCCGCATTCTGTTGGATATGGACAATGAAACAGAAAGTACCGCCCTGTGAAGAAAGCCACCTCCCAGCCGTTGACCCCTTCCAGCCAGGGAGTGGAACAGGGGCAGGCAGACTTTTATCTTTGCAGACCAAACAGTGAAAAGCTTTCAGTGGAGGGAAAAAGGCGGCCTTACCATAGAGAACTGCCTTCTCAGAGCCTGAGGAGCAAGCAAGGCTGACACTTAAAGCTGAATGACCTGTGTCGTGAAGAAGTTGGCTTTCTTTACATGGAAAAGAAATCATGCCAAAAAATCAAAGAGAAAGAAAAAAAGAAATACCTGGAGTGGAAAGAGTATCCTTGCTGAGACGAGTCTGGGAAGCTTTCGTCAATGCAGTAATGCAGGCGGCACCAGTGGCAATTTGGAATGAATGAGAAGCAATGCGTTAACTCTTTATTTAATAAAACACGTTCATTATGCAAGTTGCCTGCTTCCTGCTACTTGGACTGTCATTCTCACGTACCTGGAGGGAGGTGCCTCTCCTTCAGACATGCTGCAGAACCATTTTGTATGAAGTATAGTCTGTGTCTCCCTGATCCCCTCTAAGCCACGAGCATTGATGGTGACTGCTGGATCTGTCACCTCAGCAAACTGGATGTGACTTGTGCCTTGTTGGATTGCCAGAATGTAGAAAGGAATGTACTGTTCTTTTCTTTTTTTTTTTAAACAACGTAATTGCTACTTGATAAGGACCGAACATTATTCTAGTTTCATGTTTAATTTGAATTAAATGTATTCTGTGGTTTATATGAAAACTTTATAATTCTTGGAGGCAAAACTGTGGATTTTGTGTGTATGTGTGTGTGTGTGCATGTTCATGTAACCAAACAGAATTGTGATGGGACATCTAGGGCTCTAATTGTGACTGTAGCAGTTTGAAAGAGTGGAGAGCAAGGTAACAGCAGTGAAAGCAGCCACCAGGTGCCCCAGAGACCTCCGAGACTGGCTGTCCTTCCTGAATGTTCCGTGGAGAAGGCTCTTCCTTTGCTCTTACCAGTTTTGACACCCTTTCTTGTCCCTCCAGGGACACTTGGACTCTTGGAGGCCGACTCCCAGTCATTCAGGCCCATGGGCCTAGGGCAGAAGTCAGAAGCCATTACTATCCATGGGAATTCCCTTTTCCAGTGACTGGAAGCCACTTCTTTCCCGGGATTGAGATTGAAACCAAGTGAGACCAACAGTCTGGATGGCTGTTCTGACGCCAGCCCCTCTGTGTGGCTCAGACTTGGTGGTCTTCTCTTGCGAGTACAGAGAGACATGCTGCCAACATTGGCTGCCCAGAGCCATTCCATTGATAGAGTTGTTTGCTAGTTGCATCAATGACCTGTCCCCTGCTTAGAAGACATTGGACCTCCTTCCACTATGAATTAACAAGTTTAACTTGAAAAGGGCAATCACTTTCTCCTCTTAACTCAAAGCTCCTTGTGCCCCCAAAGTGCTCCCTACACTTACTAATTACATTGAAAATATGTGCCTATAGACCCTGTTTCCCCCATATCTTAAATTTATATATGTTAAGGCTCACTCTTTCCCCCTATACACCATCTATGTTCTTTTTCTCTACCCCCTTTCGCTATAGAACAAACCTGCTAGCCAAAGCTAAGGTCTCGGTGTCAGGTGCTCATCAGTGTTGGCCCCTTCAAGGAGCCTGGCTGTCCACAGTCAGCATCTCTGCAGCACCTTGGAGGTACTTTCTCCGTAATGCCTGAGCACGCACTCAGGAGGAAGCTGGGACACGGGGCTTGGTGCCTGGGGACCTGGAAGGTCCATGGTGAATGTTCTCGCCAGAATGTCGCATGTGTTTTGTTGTTGCTGATTCTGAAATACAACAAACCATACCCTCATTATTTTAAGAACAGCATTCAATTTCACTCTCCCATTGTTTTTATAATCTTCCTACCCTAAGAGCTCCAGCTAAGGAAAAATGAAACTTTTTTTTTTTAAAGATTGGCACCTAAGCTAACAACTGTTGCCAGTCTTCTGTTTTTTTTTCTGCTTTATCTCCCCAAACCGCCCCATACATAGTTATATATCTTAGTTGCAGGTCCTTCTAGTTGTGGGATGTGGGATGCCGCCTCAACGTGGCCTGACGAGCGGTGCCATGTCCGCACCCAGGATCCGAACCCTGGGCCGCCGCAGCGGAGTGCGCCAACTTAACCACTCGGCCACGGAGCCAGCCCCAGAAAAATGAAACTTAATTTGACTCTGTGTGTGTGTCAAAAGTAGATACCCAACTGGGGCTACTGGCCGTCCTCTTGGATGGTCAGTTGTGATGTGGACTTGGTGTCTCAGCTTCGGACATTCGGAGCTGTAACTGCATCATGGTGGAAGCATCTCCAAGGTTACCTCTGCTGGGGGAGTCGCTACATTGCCATCACTTTCCCTTGACACCACACATAGTAGAGCCTCTTGTCATCCTACCACCGTCAGAAAGATAGGAAAGTCTGTAGTCTAAACTCGTAATGGCTTTCCCCGACCATCTAGGAGGTACTGGTCTCTAGACATCTGCCCCTTCAGACTATTTCTTTCTCTTCTCTATAGAACAATTTCTCATAGAAAGTTCTAGCCCTGTGTGCTCAGGCTTTCTGTTCCTGCTCCTCTGCCCACAGCTACACCAGGGTGAAGGACCTGTTCCTCACACCACACCTTGCATTCAACACTCATCTAGCCTGTTCTCCATCCAGCATTTTGGAGATCGCAGGGGATCAGGGCAGGCCCCTGGCTGCCCTGATTGTGCTGGGTTCTCCCCTGTGAATTCCTAAGTTCAGATGCAGTTGGACAGACTAAATTCTTGGGGCTTCTTGATGGCCCTGGTGCCTGGGGGCTCCACAGATGGACCCTTGTCCCCCTCTTGGGGCTCTAGCACCCAATGCTCCCCCAAGCCCGGTGAGCCCCACAAGTGCTCATATTTGGAGGTCTTAAGACAAACCCTCCTCTGACTCCTCTATCTGTGGTCTCTTCCCACCATTTCCCTACCCGCACCATATCGCAGGGCCTTTGCCTCTTCTCACAGGTCGTACTCTACCATCTCTTTGCTGTGTGGTCCCAAGTGTGACTCCCAGTCTAGGAGTCTTGCATCAGACTGGGCAACACCTCAGTGACAAATGTTTCTACACCAGTGGCTTCCACTTCTCTAATATTGTAGTGGTGGAGCTAGGAAGGAGGAAAGATCCACGGGCATGGGGAAGCCACTGGTTCTGAGGAAACCAAAAGGCAGAAAGTGGTCCAAACTGCCTAAGCTGCCACCTAAGGGGAGCAAGGCAAAAGGTGGTGCAGAGTGGGGGCACCTCTCTCTGGAAGCCACTTTTAGAGATGTCTCTGTAATCCACCCTCCCACCCACAGCCCATCTGTGTCCTTGTGGCCATTCTCTATTTCCTGCCCTGGTACCCTCACAATAAATTCCTTTTTTTGTTTTTTGCATAAATTTTCTTAGGTTTGTCTCTGTTGCCTGCAATCAACTGACTCTTACTTGATACACTCCCTAAAAGAGGCTCTCCTCTTCTGCTCACTCCCAGACACATGGCTATGGCTATACAGACCCCTTACAACTCCACAGGCAAACTTTCCCCTTCCCACACTCTCCCCACCCAACCCCACTCTTATCTATTGCTGTGTGACAAATGATCACAAATTTAGCAGCTTAAAATGACACACATTTATTATTTTACAGCTTCCGTGGGTTAGGAGTCCTTGCACAGCTTAGCTGGGTCCTCTGTGTGGGTCTCACAAGACTGCAGTCAAGGTGTCAGCCAGGGCTGGGGTCTCATCTGAAGGTATGACTAGGGATGGATACGCTCCTAAGCTCTTTCAGGTTGTTGTCAGAATTCATGTCCTTGTGGTTGTAGGACCACAAGGTCTGAGGGCCCAGGCTTCTTGCTGACCATCATCTGGAGGCTGCACTCAACCCCCAGAGGCAGCCTGCAGTTCCTGGACGTGTGGGCTTCCCCGGTATGGCTGCTACTTCATCAAGCCAGCAAGGACAGCCTCTAGAAGGAGTCTGTTAGCAAGTCAGAGTCTTAGATGATATAACATAATCATGGACTGACATCTTATCACCATCACCATATTCTATTGCTTCGATCCAGTCGCAGGTTCCATATACACGCAAGGAGAAGGGATTACAAAAGGGTGTGAGGAGCAGGAGACGGGGATCATGGAGGGTCATCTTAGGGTCTATCCGCCACACACATCAAAACGTCATCACAAATGACACCTATGGAGGTATATTTGAACCAAATACTTTTTTGGAAGAACAAAAAAAAACTGGAGTTCTGTTTTCACCCTCTATACTTGTATTTGAATTCAGTTTTTATGCGCATCAATAAATTATATTTGAATGACCAAAAAAATATTTGCTTGTCATTTCATAGTAGAAACTCAGCATTTTTGTTTTCATTCAAAGACGCTTAGAATTGAAGCCATGTCTTTTAAATAATTTCTGTGTGACCTCCAGGTAAATATTGACGGCTTACTCTTCCATACACTGGCCTAGACCCTGGGGAACCAACCTGAACCGTACAAACATGGCCTCGGCCCTCAGGACGCTTGCAAACAAACCCGGGAAACAGAGAGAGAGAGTGTGGAAGGGGAGGAACTGTGGAGCACATGGGAGGAAGGAACAGCTTGTGCAGTGGCCGGGGGGTGAGAGAGAGTGTACTAGTAAAGTGGGAGGTGGGCAGCGGGCAAGGAATAAGGCTAGTGAGGTAATAGGGTGCTGGAGCATGAAGGGCCTTCTACCCCAGGTTTGGAAGTTGCCCAAGGCCAGTAGGGAGCTACTGAGAGAAGAGGAGAGTGATAGTCCCATTAGTATTTTAGATCCTCGTGGCTGCGGTGCAGGAAATGGATTACAGCGAGGGCCAGACTAGAATCGCTGATGCCAGCAGCCTAAACTAAGGTAGAGGCAGTGGACGGATTAACATATTGTTAGGGAGGCAGAGTCAGCATGATTTGGTGGCCAGTTAGGAGGCTGGTGCCAGCCATCCAGGGGAGAGATGGCAGTGGCCTCAGTGTCTATAGCAAAAGCTCTCAGTAAAACACACTTTTGACCCCAACCAACGGCAGCAGAAGTCATGGTGTGATGGTCCAGAGCAGCCACCGAGGCTTGGTGGAGGGGCAATTTGGGGAAGCCTCCTGGGCCTCCCACTCCCCTCCTTTGGCCCTTGGAGGGGACGCTCAACCTCCCCTGGAGCCCACTTGCCCAGACACCAGATCAGGCTTGTCAGGAGTCAGTTACAGCTATGTGAATAGCAGCCACATTCGTGAACAGCTCCCTACATAGACCCTTTCCTAAGGAAGGCTGACATGTGCCTTTGTCCACCCCCAGCTCTCACTTGGATTGGTGTGGAAGAGCCAGGCCTCCGACAAGGGTAGCGGCCGAGCTAACACACTGACCTTTAGACCAAGTGGTCCAGGTGCTGAAGGCATCAGGTAGGAACTCAAATGATACCACTGAGTTACTAGGGAGCCGATGGCTCCTCAGCCCCAGGGTGTTCTGTCCATGTTCTTTTGAAGTCCAGAAATTGGGGTCCCTTGAGAGACTATTCCATTCTCCGGTTGTCAGGCTGGTAAGTGGTTCTAATCTACCCTACCCTCCTCCTTTATCCCAGGACTAGAATAATAGCTCCTGGCCCTGGGCTTCCCCAGAGATGGTCTCAAGGCTCCTTCTGTTGCCCGGCCCTTGCTCTTAGCTGTGCAAACAGCCCCTACAGTTCATCCCATCAGACCCCATCAGGGCCCGAATAGGGAAATTAGAGTGGCTG